AAATCTGATATTAAATCACTTTGTTAAAAATCATTGGGAAATATTTCTGATTTAATTAGTAAACAAAAATTTAAAATAAGTATTGAATTTACATTCATCTGTAACAAGCTAAGAGATTTTGCTTTGTAAGCTACATGGTAGATTAAGAAATCAGCAGTCAAAAACTCTGATATACAATGAAAATTGAAATACAGTTTCATGGTAAAAGCCATTAATACAGAGATTCTATTTCCTTGTGTACCCTGAAAGAACTGTGATATATACTTATATAAGATCAAGGTGAAAAAAGTAAGCAGGGTAATGCTACTGTAATTTTTAAAGTACACAGTGTCTCCTTGCTATATGAGCATACAGCATCTCAAACTACTTGCTCAGATAACTCAATAATCTCATTTTAATTACTTAATGTCTGCCTTCTCTCACAGACTAGAAACTCCATGAAGGTTACTGAATGGACTACGGCTTTCAAGGAAGGCCCTTAAAATACCAGAACTGATATTCAATTTTAAAATCACAATACAGCATGGTGAAAATATACAGGTGCATGAATAGGATACTAAGATAGCTGGAGAGATCAAAGACAAATTTGCAGTCAAGTTGGAACTCTGAGTGTAGTAAAAGCCCACTTGTCAGATGAAACCTACAGTTGGCTCATTAAATGAAAAAGTCAGTACAGGTATCCCCCACTTTTTAAAAGTTCACTTCATGCCATTTTCACTTTTATAGAAGACTTACATTAGAACCTATTTTCGCTAACTGAAAGAGATCGTAAGAGGATTTTCACTTTCACAAAGAAAGGCAAAAAGCAAAATAGTGGTCAGCAGGTATTTGGCTGCAAGCTGTTACAGAAGCAGCAGCACCCCCAGCAGGGAGAGGGGCCCCCACAAGCTCCTGCCCTGGGAACGACACTCAGCATCTCAGCATCAACCCGCCAGAGCTTTGAACTGTATCTGGGAGCATCTGCCCTTCATCTCAATTTATTTTGTGCATTCCCACTTCCACTCTATGTTGGTGTTATTTTAGGTTTTATGTGTTATTCAGTATGATTTGGTAAGTTATTTTTGGGTCTGGGAACACCAAAAACATTTTCTATACAAATGAGTGGTAATTGCTTTTTTGCCTCATGCCAGTGATTGTCAACCTCTTTCATCTCATGGTACACATCAATTACTAAAATTCTGCGGCACAGCAAAAAATATTTTTTTTTGTTGATCTGAAAAAAATAAGTATAACTTTGATTCATTCACACCAGACAGTTATTGTGTTGCCTGTTGTCATTCTTAAAAAAATTTGACAGTCTACGGGTAAAGGGGTCAGTGCCCCTGACTAAAGTCAGGTATTGCATGTTTTAAAAATTCTTGTGGCACACCGGTTGAAAATCACTGCCCTACACCATTTCAGCTTAGAAAGGTTTCATAGGGTAGGCTCTACCTTTGGACAGTAGGGGAAATCTGTAACTGTAAAAATTATGTTGACATATTAAAACTTATTTTAAACACATAAGTGCACATTGATTCACAAATTTTTTCATATAAAGTAAATGCTGTATATTTGATATGGGCCTCCTACAGAGTTTGGGTCTTCTTTCTTGTATAAACCACACCCACAATGATCCATCATCTATGATTTCCACTTATGGTTTCTATAAATGGAGAAAAAATGTAAGAGCACTTCCAAAATAATATGAATCCATTACACCAGCAGTCTGTCCACCATGAGATAAGAAGGTTGGGCCAGACGCAAATTAATCCACTACTTCAAGGAGAAAGTCTTATTGTAAAATAGTCAGCTGAAGTAAACAGTGTGCTTAGCTGAAGTAAACAGCGTGCTTAGCGATGTTGTTAATTTACATTTTAGTGTGAGCTCCTTATTTCCTTGAAAACCACTAATACTCTAAAAACCAGTTAGCTTGTGCTTGGGCACTCTGACAGGCACTTCTTTAGACTTTGATGATCCCCCACCCTCATCTCTTACAGTTATCCTACTTGATAGCAAATTTGTTAATAACACATGTTGAGATGTCCCAAAGCATTCAACTTAATTTTCAAAGAAAGAATTCTTTTCTTTATACTCATTACTTAACATGTTTACTAATGTTACAAACAGGTTTCTGAATAAACAAAACTAACTTCTTGTAAGTATCCAACTCAACAGGAAAGCACAGAAGTGCAGGTGTTTTAGGAGCCACTCACTTAGCCATGTGCATTCATCTGGCCCTTGGGATTAGGATGTACATTTTATAGAGGAAAGAAAAGCATGTGGTTAAAGATATGAGTTTGTTCAGAGGCAGCTAGTGGAGGGTGCTTCTGCTGTTATTTTTTCACATTATCACTTGTTAATGGTAGCCTAAGAGCTAAAGCAGAAAGAGCCCAACAGCTAAATCACCTACCAGCTCACTGTATAATTTGGGCAAATCACTTTACTTTCTTGATCTTTAGCTTGCTCTTCAGTAAAATGGGATTAAATAAGTAACGTGTGCAAGTACTGAGTTAAGATCTGGATTTGTAACAGCAGCTACTATTTCCTAAGTGCCTCCTAAATGTGCAAGATAGTATATGAAATACTTTGCATTTAGCTATCACAAAAACTCTGGCAAACAGGGTAACTCCCCCCACCCCTTACAGATAAGGACACTGAAGTGAAGTGAGGTTACATATAGCTAGTGAATAGCAGGGTTCATTTTGGACCAGAACTCACTCCAAAGACTATGTACTTCCAGGTACACCACACTGCTCCTTGCTTTCAAAGTATTCTCATTTGCAACCCACAACTACTTTGTGAGGTGACAGTGCAGGCATTTATCGCCATTGTCCAAATGAGGAAGCATGTTTAGAGTATAGTTGACTTGTATAAGGTTAGTTATCTAGGGCAGAATAGTAAGGCAGACTTAAATTCTTTACCAATAAGATCTGACCAAACTTAAAGCTAATAAGGAACTTCAAAAGAAAAAAAACATAGTAAAGAATATATCACTTCTAATATAACAAAGACTGTTAAATTCACCATTATTAAATGTCAAAATGCCATTTACTCACCAAGCACAAGCATAGATTTCTTCCCACTTGGATCCCTCCCAAATTCTGTCACTATTTCTTTTGGGCAAAGTGCTGGCCCACATGAACATTAAACCTGAAAACATGAACATGTTTTCAACTCCCTCAACTCAGCTAAATTGGTATGATATGTACTTTTTTATCCCCAAACTCACTTATAAAAGCTATCACATTTGATACAATGAAGACCACAGCTTGATTATAACAAAACATTTATTTTTTAAAGTAGCCCTTTGGCTTGATGATGACAGCTAAAATAAGAAAGGTTTCTTGCCACCCATGCCTTAGATTTTGTGAGTTAAGTGCATATTTGCTGTGGCACAAGGATGAGAATTATAAAGATTGTGGCAAACCCCTGCTAAACTTCCTGTTTGGCATGTGCTGAGATACCCAACTAACTGTCTTCCGTGCCATAAAAAGTAATGGTGTGGATAACCATAATTTTGTCTTTTACTGACCTGAACCAAATCCAGTAAGTGTTTAGTTCTGGATTTGCTTCTGTGCAGCTTTATGGTGATGGAGGGGGAAAAGGTAATCAATCAGGACTCTTAGACACAAATATAATCAAACAAAATGGCCTGGGTTCTCTGCACCCACAATAAGCCAATCACAGATCAGTTTGATTCTGCTGCAAGACCAATTAGATTTTATAAGCTGTATATTTATATTAGACAGAACAGCATTAAGTTGGGTAAGGAAAGAGTAGTAAAGGGCAATGTGTAAGCAATAGGAGAAAAATGTGAAGCATTCTTTCTTAGCTGCTCATAATTAGAAATAGTTAATCACTACAAATGTCAATTAAACCAGTTAACCATTAAAGAGAAGCCTGGCTTGCTCTAAAACTAGACCTAAAAACAAATCAAATATATCCACTGGAAGACTTGTTCTATCCTTTAGCTCGAGCAAAAAGCAAAATGAGGTATGTTAGTGAGTCAAATGGAGATCTGGGGAGACCAGAACTTCTTAGTGTTTGATGGAACCTAAGGAGGCAGTTCAGGGTAGTCCTCCCAAACTCCCAATCTCCACTGGGGGTGGTAGTAATAAATTTAGGAGGACAACCTAATTCAGGCCCCTTCAAAAGACCATGCTGAATATATCTAGCAATTCTAAACTCCTGTAAAGCCCAGAATTGAGTAGTCCTTCTTTCTGCTTATTGTAGAAATCTCCCCAAAGAAAGGCAAATGTTGAGTGGAAACGAGCCAACAAGCCTCAAGTTGAATGAAACCCCCTCTCATCCACTCTCTAAGCTGCAGTCAAAGCAACGTTCCAAAGTGCAGTTCTTGTCCATATCACTCTCACTTAAAAGTTACATGTTTGTGTTCTCAATCACTGCAAGATACACAAAAGCCAAAATCTTTAGTACAGAATTCAGTGTTTTTAACAATCTAGTAGCCTTTGTCTACCTTTCCATCCTCACCTTCCTCTCAACAGCTCTTTCTGTTTTACACTTTTTCCATCATAAGGAGCTAAAACACACTACGTCAAAGGAAGCAAAGGATATCTTATTGAGTACTTCCCGAATGAAAAGGACCATGGATAATAGTCCTTTAGAAGATACTATGGATAATACAAGTATTATGAGTAGAGGTATTATTCTTACCTCTATGAGTAGAGGTAAGAATCTTTTCCTTTTCTGCATTTGACCTTCAGTTGGTTAACTAAGACTTTTAGGTCTGGTGGAAGGAGGTATGCTACTTTCATTACCAGGCAACACTGTTCATAGTAAAAATAATTATTAAATTTGCCTCTAGACTCAGAGGAGCTATACATAAACTATGAATACCTGATAGGAACCCATAGTTTTGACTTTCCTAAGTGGGATGCTCTTGTAACTGGGCTATGTCTTTCAGGGACCCTGGAAGCTAAGTCTATGGAGTTGTGTAAGAAAGAGATACTGTCTTCCATGGGAGCTGAAATTTTTAAAGCCAAAGTGGCTGCTGCACCTACCTGATGTGAGCTGCCTCCTGGCACTTGAGCGTCCACTTGAAAGGATGTCTCCCAGAAAGCTACATGAACTGCTTGCATGGATCCTTGTAATGAGCACAACCACTGATGAGGAGCCAGGGATGCTGCCCTGCTGGCAGTTCCCATCTGGTATCCTTCTGAGTGAACAAGCCGATGGCAGTTTTGTGAGCCTGAATGTTCAGTTGAACCTAAGGAGACCCGCTCAACTACACAGCAACAAGAGTATAAGAATGGCTTGGGCCCTAGCTGGTGTGGTTCAGTGGTGGAGTGCCAGCCTGTGAATCAAAGGGTCGCCGGTTCGATTCCTAGTCTAGGGCACATGCCTGGGTTGCAGGCCAGGTCCCTGGTAGTGGGCATGCAAGAGGTAACCACACATTGTTGTTTCTCTCCCTCTCTTTCTTCCTCCCTTCCCCTCTATCTAAAAATAAAAATATAAAATCTTAAAAAAAAAAAACGGTTTGGACTGGCAGTCCAGACATTCTAAAGTTTGAACCCAAACCCTTGTCTTTTTTTTGTCTGCTGTTTTAGTCTAACATCTATATCCCTGACAAATTCTTCCCCTGCCTTAACAGTGGCATAAGCAGTGTCGAGGAGTCTGTGACAACCTGGGACTCTGACAATGACCTGTGCTGCTGACCTTAATCGGACATGTACTGTGACTGACAAATAAACTTTTGTTGTTTTAAACCACTAAGGTGTGAAGGTCCTTTGTTACCACCACATAATTTACCTTACCTGATATACTCAACAAACCCCTTTCTCATAAATGGAGTGAAGACATTGAATAGCTCCGACCCTCATTTATCTTCAGAATAGTAATATTTTGTATAGCACTACATCATTTATAGAACACTTGGCTACAGAAGTATCCCTCATTATCCAAACTTTCAAAATCCAAACATAGGAATTGAATTGATGCAGATACATTTTTGGACTAATCCCTCACTCAGTTCTCACTACTTGGTGGCTGAAACTCCGGAACCAAGGACATTGCTCCCTCCAAACTCTTGTCATCTGCAATCAGGAAAATATTTAGACAGTAAAAGATTCTTTTTAAAATTATTTATTTATTTATTTTTAGAGCGAGGGTTCGGGAGGGAGAAAGAGGGAGTGTAACATTGATGTGAGAGATAAACATCTATCGCCCTGTCCAGGGACCGAACCTGCAACCCAGACATGCACTCTTTTGTTTTGCAAGATGACGCCCAACCAACTAAGTCACACTGGCCAGGACTAAAAGATTCTCAGTACGTTATTTATCATCACCTTCAAAGCTGTTCTTCTACTGCCCAAAACCTATTCTTCTCTCAACATCTATTGAATGAAATGGGTGCTATCATCATTCTAATCTTACAAATAAGAAAACAGATTCCGAGTGGTTCATACACTTGCTAGAAACCACCTGGCACATTAGTGGCAGAATCCCAGATTTGCTGGTTTCAAATTACTTTCCACTATCACCATGCTTTCTAAGACCTTTTACGACCACAGAACCCTAGAGTTTGATAGTAAATTAATAGTACCAATAATATTTGTGATGAGAAGAACATCTTAATCACATATTTATATCTGAGAATAACTGAAGTCATTTCTGAAGAAATTTTATTTGCCTAAACATAGTTTAATTCAAGACCCGGAGTACCCATGAAACACTGAATAGGAAAAAGTCCTAGAGGTCATTTGACCCAACAGGCTACTTGCAGAACAATAACTATGAAAGAATTCAGGGGGAAAGTAGCCTTTACCTTTAATATATAGTATATTAAAATTCTGACTTTTACATGAGCTTCACTTTGGTTCTTACCAAACTGGATAACCTCAAACTGTTTGCTTTCCAGTTCCCATCAAACCTCAGCTGCAGGAAGTTCTCATGAAGAACCCCCTGAAGAAGAGGCAATCCATCCATTTCTCTAAGTTCAGTAGTTCCCAATTTATATTCCATAGTCAAATCACTTTGGAAAAGGTTACAAAATATATTCCATTTTAAAAGAGTAATCTTGAACATTTGCCAAGAAAGGGTAGTAAGTATTGAAACTGGTCTAACCCAGCTATCGCAAACTTATTTGAACTCAGAATCTTACTTTAAGTAATCAACTACTGATTTCTCATTTCTTAGGACACAGGTTGGGAAATACTGTTCTGGATCATTTTAAATGTTATGAATGGATCAAATTAAATTTTCAGAGAATGTATCTTTAGAGTTTTGTTACTGCCCTTTATTGAAGAACACTGTTGCCCAAAATCCATTCTTTTCTGTAGGGATTTTTAAAATACGTCAACTCCATCATACAATCTTATAATATGCACTTAGTATTATCTTTTCCGGTTAACTTTGTGTTCTTTTATTTTTTTCCTGTTCTGCCTCAATTTTCTCATTTAGTTTTGCTTCACCCTATGGCACCAAGTTGCTTCAAATCATTTTTGGAACTAACCACTGTATGTGTATATATATATATATATATATATATATATAAAGACCTATCTCCCTACAATTGCATATTGATTTCTACATACCTGCCAATTACCCCAAAATATTGTGTACACTTGCGTAAAGGCATTCACATAGTTATAGCAAGCCAACAGAACATACACATTCACAATATAGTTAAATTCACAAAGGCTTAAAACCAGAAGAAAAGTCATTGTTTATTCAGTGGTCTAATAACCAAAAAGACTTATGAAACTGTTTTCTAACTGGAGGGAGAATGAACATTTATTGGGCACCAGTCACTGCAAGGAACTTTACTAACATACAACAGTTTCGTTTTTTAAAAGTGCATTTGCATATACATACTCTCTGGAGGGCTGCACAAAACAGTGGTAATATTGGCTGGCTGGGGTGCACGGGTGGGAGGGGAGAGAAACTTTGTATATATTATCCCTTTTGTACCCTTTGATTTTTGTGAATGTGTTAACCTTTCAAATATATTTTTAAAAATCAAAGAGAACAATAAAACGATGGCAGTGATACTTGACTCTTTGATACAGCAAACTTCCTTCCTTCCTTCCTTAGCTTTTGATGCCCAAGTATGCCATGACATGCTCAAAAGAAAAAGTTTCAAACCAGGCACGCGGGGTTTTATGGAAATAAAGTCCCTTTCTGATTCTCCACACTCCGGGGTGAAGCAGTTACTTAAAATCAAAACTTAGATTATGATAGTCTGCGGGTAATGGGGAAAATAAATCTGAAATGGTTTCCAGTTTGTTTATTAGCAGAACAGTACCGGGAAGGGCAAGGATTCCGGACAGCGGTCCATGCCTCAGCAGGCTCGCCACCGACCCGCGTCCAGAACTTTGCACAAGTCGAGGGCGGCCCAGACGCCGCTCCACAGCTCTAAGGGCGTGGAGGCCTGGCCCGGGTTCGAGCCCCGGATGCAGTTTGGGGAACTGCCTGCCTGGCCCACCCCTTGGGGCAGAGCTGTCCCGGGGCAGCCTCCCTGAGGACCCGGTAGGATTTGGCCGCCACGGATCGTGAAGAGGGTCGCGTGGGCAGGGAGCGGGCCCATAGCACCGCTGCTCTGCTTTGGTCTCCTCCCCACACAAAAAGGAAGTCGCACTTACCCCGTGGGGCTCCCAAGGCAGCTGGGGGTCACGGCGGGACGGGGTGGCCCGGCGCCAGGAGGAGGGCCGGCGGGGGACTGGGGTCGGTGGGTGGCGGAGAGGGATGCTCGGCCCCTCGGGCGCCCCCAACCCCTCCCTGGCAGCCTCACCCCCGGCGCCGGCCGGCCCGGCGCGGGCCACTCTCCCTCCGTCAAGCTGCACCAAGCCCAGCGGACAAACTCTGCGGCCAACCCGGAGGTGGCCCGCGGGCTAGTGGGCAGGGGTCGGGGACAGCTCCCCCCTTGCTCGTGGCACGGCGCGGGCGGGCTGCTTGCCCGCCCCGCCCCCTCACTCCAGGCCCCGCCCCTCCTGACGGGCCGCGTGCCCCGGAGACTGCCGCCACCTCTGGGTTGGCGGTTTCTCTCCTCCGCAGCTCAGTGCCTGCGGACGGCCGGGGCCTGGGGAAGGGAAGGGGAGAAGAGGGGATAGGGAGTACAGCGGCTGAGGTTTGGCGAGCTCCTGAGAGCGAGGGGGACGTCAGCCTGGGCGGAGCTCTGCGGGAGGGGGCGGGGCGGGGTGAACCTGACAAAGATTCCGGTAGTTCCCCGCCCCTTCAAACTGGGAATGGGGAATTCCTGGGGTTGGAAGTTTGGAGAGAGGTCCCTCTGCAGGGCTGGAAGGCGCTCAGACAGCGGGCCGTGGGGGTTGATTCTTTAGTGAACAGGACTGTATTTTCCCAGAGCTCTGGGGAAACTCACTAAGAGTCGCCTGTCTTTCCCAGCCCCTGCAACTCTTCCCCTTGCAACAATCTGATTATTACTGTACTCTAGGTATGGGTTTGTGCCACAGCAATTATGATCCCCAACTGTCCATCACGATAGTCTTCCAATGGCGGGATACTAGAATTCTACAAAAGTAGATTCCTTATTCACTCCTCTACCCAATGTATATTAAACTCCTACTGTACAGTATACTAAGTGCTGAGAATAAAAACTAATTTACTCAGCGTCCATATATATGCTAAGCACAAATCTTAAGCACTTTAAATATGTTAACTCACAATCAGACTTGAGCAAAACAGCTAAGGTGCCTTCCCCCAGGGAACTCGTGGTGCATTAGGGAGGACAGGGATTTCCTTAGTTTGTCTCACAGCGACGTGTAAATGAAATGTCCACCTACTTTTGGTTCACCAAGTAATGCCTGTGTTCATTACGTGCAGATTCAGTGTTTGCTACTCTGAGCTAGATGTATGCTGTTCGCAAGAGTTGAATGTGGTCATTCCCCACCATCCATTAATGCCATTTGCTCTGGACATTTTCAGTATGTCTTCATAATGAAAATCCAATACAAGTAGGTGGTCCAGAAGACTGATGGATCACGTCACTACCAGAATAACAGCCAAATTGTGGCAGCAACCTAAGGTGGTTGGGAGATCTAATTAGGGATCTGTTTTGTACCCACCTCCTTGGGGACGTCGTTAGAAAAAGCAACATGATGTAAAACAATGAAGCATTGAAACGGACTGCTAGTTCGAAGGAAAGCGGAAGGGCAGATTTAAAACTGTCACAGTCAGGAAGGAGATACATCACATATCTAGTACTGAGTGCTCCATAGGAGGACAGGATACATTTTCTTTCTTTTTATTTTTTATCAGAGCCAAGTGGAAGAGACTCCCCTTCCCCCTTTGCAATAACCTGCATGCATAGATAAAAGTTATTTCAATAGCATAGTCTTTAATTTTTAAAAAAATATTTTATTTATTCATTTTTAGAGAGAGGGGAAGGGAAGGAGAAAGAGAGGGAAAGAAACATCGATGTGAGAGAGAAACATTGATTGCCTCTCCTATGGGCCCAGACTGGGAGGAACAAGAAACCGAGGCAGGTGTCCTGACCAAGAATTGAACCAGCGGACCTTAGCCTAACAGGACTATGCCCAACCAACCGAGACACCCCACTGAGGGCAGCTGCATTGTCTTTAAGAATAAAAGATAGGTATCTAAATCCATAGCCTAAATTTTGGGAATTGGATACCATTTTGTAACCCTCATTTGCCTTTTCAGTGTTAACATTTGTTTATGAACATTAACGGCAAAGGACATTCTTCTCATAGTCCCCCCAGCCCTCATCTGTTGTTCAGTTTTGGAATGTTACTCAGTCTTTTTCTTTGGGGCTCATAGTGAGAAAGACAAGAAACTCATTACAATCAAACCAGATTACAATTGCAGCATTAAATAAAAGAATCATAATTTAAGAAACAGGATTTCCCCTACAATCTTTCCTTTTTTTATGTTAAATACATTGGTTGTATTGTCCTAAAATCTATTTTCTTTGATTTACTAATGGATATGTTCAGTTTATTTGCTCCACCCCCTCATAAAAGCAAGTCAAACAAAACATTGCTTGTGAACTGGCCCCCTGCTGCCGGCCCCAGCTCCTGCCTTGCTTGCTCTCAGGCTGTTGCCCACACTGGACTCCTTTCTCCTCTGCCAACACTCCAAACGCTTGCCAGCCAAGCTTTTGCATGTATGTGCCTCTGTCTGGAAGGCTCTTAGCTGTCCACATGACCGTTTCCCTTTTCCTTCATGTCAGCTTTCCTGGCTATCCTTGTAAACCTGCAACTCCCCCTTATTTCTCACACTTAGCACTACCTGACATGCGTCTATTTATGTCTCTAGTTCCACTGTAATACAAGCTTCATGAGAGCAGAAACTCGACAGTTTAGTTCACTGTTACATCTCCAGTGTCTGTTACTCACTCTGTCTGCCACATAGTAGACACTCAACAAATATTTTTTGAATGGATGGATGACTTCACAAAGGAAACATAGCTTGTATTTCTTTTTGTAATGGCCAAAGTGCTTTTGTACAATTTATCCTACAACTGAGTCTTATGACTTAGACATATGAATAAGGTTTAAATTACAGACCATTTTTAAAATTAGAATTTGAAGTGGTTGTTTTTAATCTTGCATTCTGGAAATATATTGAGGAAGCATTCACAGCTAATAATTTATGTTGAGATATTACAAGTTGGCCCGTGAATAGATCCATTGAATAGGAGAGTAACGATGGATCAATACATGCTGTCAAAGTCTTAATATTTTTCCCCGAGGTGAAATACACAGCAGTAATCAGAAACGGAATAAAAGAACCTAAAATTTGATTACTGATAACTTCAAAGCTGGTGCTAAAACCATGTCCTTTGTGAGTGCTCAAATCATTTTAATTGGTAATAATGATGATAGTGAAGTTAACAATGTTTTCACATGGTTGAAGAGCAGTACTGACAGGTAGCAAACAGAACTTAATCATCCTTATGTGTAGAGGCCCTTAATAAATAAATGGTTTGGCTTTTCATTTTCTGCTCTGATTACCAGATGTGTGGGTGGGGACGATTAAAGGCTCAAATATCATTATGTACAGTGTCTAAGGTCAAAATCTGGATCCCAGAAGTGGGATCTCTTTTAGAGGGTTTAGGATTACTTTAAACAGTCCTGCTGCTATCTATGTTTTTTTTTTTAAAAAATGTTACAGGTCTCATTGTCACCACTGCAATAAAGTTACTGTGATGGAAGCAAAACCTGTGTCTCAATGTAGCCACATTAACAATTTCTGGACACATGTACAAAAACAGTGCCCATTTTCATCTAGAATGAGTCTTGCTATCTATGTTTTGATGCAAACAGCCTCCTATTAAAATACAGAGCTTTAAAATGTGTGAGCAGATCATACTCCTGGAAGGAGAATTTCCAGATGGGAAAACAGGTAGCCAAGTAAATCCAACCCAAAATTTGTCCCCAGAAAGTGCACCTTGAAGTCTCACTCTGGTTTCTTTTGGTTCCCCAGGGTAACTTGTTCCCCTCAAGGGGAAAAAAAAGGTTTCTTGGGCCTTCTTTTTTTCTCTCTTTCCTTTTTTTTTCATTCTCACTTAAGGACATGCTTATTGACTTTAGAGAGAGGGGAGCGAGGGGACAGAGAGGGAAAGAAACATCGATGGGTTGCTTCTTACACGCGTCCCATCAGGGGACCAAACCTGCAACCTAGGCATGTGCCTTGACCAGGAATTGAATCTGCGACGTTTTAGTTTATAGGATAACACTCCAACCCACTGAACCACACTGGCCAGGGCTCCTGGGTTTTCTTTACCATAGCCAAGCTGAACTTGACTTTTCAAAATGAACTATAAACAGCAGCCATAACACCATTAATTTGTTCAGCTATTCTTCTACAGTTTTCACTCTTCCAGGAAAAAAACTTCCATCCCCACAGGGCAGGGATAAGTTTGCAGGCAATCTGCCTAAACCTCTTCCCTCTTGGCTCCCTTTCTTGCTCCACATGGTAGGGTCAACTTTCTGTCCTTCACGTGGGAGCTACCAAGCTTGTCCCAATCACAACCAAAGCTAAAAGCCTCCTCTGTACTCTTGTTCAAATCTCAGTTCTGGTTAGAGGGGTATGGCACAGTCCCAGCCCAGTCGCAGGACTCTGGGGACTGACATAGTGCCCCTTCTTCAAGTGGGAGTCTCTTTACACATGGAGGAAAGGTCATAATAAGCCCACTGTCAGGTCACTCCTTTTAGTCCCCAGAGCATCTACCTAAGAGTTACCCTACTATATGAAAAGACTATTATGTCTAAAATAAACTCTGTCCACAATAACAGGTGACCTAGATCTTAGGAAGTGGAATCTTTCTAAGGCCTTTAGCGAAGCCCCCTCGGGCACAGGTGCCTGGCAGTGCTTGGGAGCAGGGACAGCAGAGTCAGGTGCCGCAGGGCTGCCCACCCCCAGAGCAGGGCATACCCCCATATCACACGTGGCCTTGTCAGGCCCAGTCCTGAGCAGATCCTGCTGGCTGACCCCACATACCGTTTGCTTGATCCCACCGATGGGAACACTGTGGCCTCTGGCAGGCCAGGCAGCAGTCCCCAGACTTAGTGGCTGTGAGTCGGAGGGCCCAGGGGGCCACAGCACTGCCTGCAGCCTGTAACTGTTCAGGGGGGCCCTGTGCTGCCTGGGCTCATGCCCTGCCGTTAATGATCACCGATTTGTGGAGGCTGACTCCAGCTTTTAGGGGACTGTCATCGTGGATGCCAAAAGAGTATGACTGAGATGAAGTGAACAAGTGACAAAAAAAGCCAGCTTAAAAAACCCAACAAGCTGCCCTACATGGCGCTGAGACACGGGGAAGGAAAGTGTGTTCTCTCCTGAACCCCTCCATCCACCCATTCATGAGTGGGCTTGTAATCAGGCCACACTCTCTGGTGGAAAAAAAGGGTTTTTATAAAACAAATTTAAACATTTTCTGCCAGTCCCTCTAAATTTGTTCATCCCTCAGGACGCTGCTTAGTACACTTTAGTGACTCTTTGTTGCCTTCAGGGTAAAGTTCAAACATCTAAACATGGTCATGAAATTCTTTATAACCGAACCCCTTTCTACCTCTTTAGGCCCGTGCTCATTCTGGCTGATTTCTCTCATCATTACACCTTTAACTCGGTTTCCTCCATCTGGAGGGCCCTGCTTTGCCAATCTCTGATTGTATAAACCCCCCGGGACTCAGCTCAAGGGTCACATCCTCTGACAAACTTTATCCCAAACTTGCCAGGCTGAGTGCCTTCCTCCTCTGGGTTCCCATTACTATGGGAACAGCTACTTGATGGGCTGTGAACATTGGCTAACTGGTCCATCTCCCTGCCTAGCTGAGAGATCTATGATGTGCGGCAGTCGTAAACATTTGTGGGAGGGAGGGAGGGAGGGAAGACCTATGAAGCCTTGAGAAATAACCATTACAGTATGGCTATTTTTCCCCATGAGCATTTTAACATTTATAAACAGGACCTTTCCTCAAGTTTATAATGTTATGCTACCAGTTTTATGAAACTTTAGAAGGTCCTTAATTTAGGATTCCAGAAACTTACAAGGCAAGAGGTGAACAGAAAGTACTTGTATTTATTTCCATGCATTAAAACAACTCTTTCAGCCTCTCAATACACTTGCTTTGCTTTTTAAAAATAAAAATCACAAGAGTACTTATTGATGTCAATTTCTTAGAAGTTAGAAGTGTTCTAGGGTATATCTTCACATTTGACATATTACCTCCTGATTCACTAACAGAGAGGAACCACTCAATCTGCCTTTCATTGTAATGTTCTCAGACAATGTTTATTGCCATTCTACAAGGCTGAGCATTCAGGTTTTTCCACTGAGCCGGTGGTTTGCTTATAGAAGATTCATTCGGCAACATTTACCAAGCACCACAAAGAGGCCTGCGGCGCCGCCGAAGGCCGGGCGCTGCTTGTTACTGGGGAGAGATGGAACAAAGATGAATCAGACGGATACGTGTCAGCTGAGAAGTTCTTATCGATCATTATGCTTCCTCTTCCTCCTCCGTTTCGTTCCTCTTTTCAAAGAGCACACGTCCCTTCGTGTTCACACTTGCATTCTACATTCAGTGACTATACTTAGCACAGAATTGGTGAGGGCAGATTCCGGCAGAGTAGCAAGCGGCTGACCTGAGCTCGAAAACCAGTGAGCGCACCGAGGGCGGCACGCACCACGTGCATTCAAAGGCGGTCGCAGAGCCGACGACGGTCTAAGGGCCACAATGAGGAAAGAAAACAAGTGTTTCATTCTCCTCCTCTCCATCCCCAAGAAAATCAAGAAACAATATTGCGCACAGATTACGTGTATAAGGAGACCAAAAAGAAAAAAGAAAAAGGGAGCCCAACTGAAACATTTTTCATGCTGCTAGCATATAACCTTTGACTCTTTGGAAATAGAATAAAATCAATTGCCTGGAATATGAGAGTACTAGGTCCAAGAGGTCCCATCTCAGAGATGAACAGGCTGCAACAAGAGGGCCCTTCTGAATCTAAGCAATACTATTTCTTGATTTTCTTGGGGACGGGGCGGGGGGAAGGAGAATGGAATGCATTCATAATTTGAGACTGAAACACCCTCTTGTTGCCTCTGGTTCTTTTTATCTGAGACTGGACCTACTGCACTGAATGTTTTCAGGCTCTGAACAATTGATTTTCCTGGATTTCTTAGAGTTAGGTTGTTATATTCCAGTATCATGAAGAATATTTTGATTGTGCTTTCTGTCTGTTTATAGATAGAAGTAACATGATAATGCATTTTAATGGCAAGTTAATTGTCAGAAACTCTGTTTCCAGAGTCTGAAATGCTACAGTGGTACGAGGAATCCATTCCAGGGTGCTTTCCCTTTTTGCACCCCCACCCCTACCCCACCCTTTCCCCCAGTCTCTGAATGTACTGGCTGGGCAGACCAGCCTGTCTCATATTCCTTTTAAGGAAAGTGGCCCCATTGGGTTCTTTCCTGCACAGCTGCTATCTCAGTGCAGCGGGTTCTGTTAGTGAAAACAAGATCTTGCCTCAGGTGATGGGGTGGGGACAATGTAGGCTGAGCAGACACGTATGGGCTTCAGAGGGGAAGGCCCGTGTGCAAAGGCCTTAGGTGAACTCTGCCCAGTGAGCGTGTGGAACACAGAGGTGGCAGATCAAAGCACATGCTCCCTGGAGGGGCAATGAGCAAAGAGAAGGCGGCTCAGTGAACCACAGCCTGTGGTCTGAGCAATGCTGACCACCTTTCCTGGTACACCGAGGGGCTGGCTGTGCTTGCCAGGTTGGCCTGTCTGACCTGGCTGCTAAAGCGGGGGGGGGGGGGGCCTCCTGGGTGCCCTCACGCCCTGGGTTTCTTTTCAACAACGTCACCACAGCCGCTGCAGGCAAGCAGGGGCAACACTGTAGTCTCCCACTGACCCGACCTGACCCATGCTCCCTCTGGAATGCTCTTCAATTAAGTTCAGGCTCTGGTCCACACTCCCAGCCTCAGAAACAACATCCCAGCCACTTTCTCAATAACGTCTGTTTCTAAAACAGCAAAAAGCCTCTGTGTGGGGAGAGAGAGAGAGAGAGGAATTATGTTTATTGAGTTATAAATTACCTATATAAAAGCCATTCATTTTGATGTACAGTTCTAGAGTTTTGGCTGATGCTTACAGTTGTGTAACCACTACCATCATCAGGACACAGAACAATTGCATCACCCTAAAAATTCCCTCAAGCCTCTTTGTAGCCAGCCCTTCCCTCCACCTCCAGCCCCTGGCCAACCACTGACGTGTTTCTGCCCCCGTGGTTTTGCCTTTTCTCTTGTGCCTTGTAAATGGAATCATACAAAGGCCTTCTTCAACATCCTTGTCTAAACCAACACGTGCCCGGCTTGCCTCTCTGTTAGCACATCATTCTCTGCCTTACTTTTTTTCAGAACACTTAACACTAGCTGAAAATAAGCTACTGTCATTATTTGATTATTGTCTGTCCCTGGAATGTGCCTTCCCACTTGAGTGTGAGTGCAGAGACACTGCTTCATTTGCTACTTCATCTCCGGGGTTCAGAAGGCTGCCTGTCATCGTGCAGGTGTCCAGTGAGTATTTGTTGAACAATCCCAAAGTGAATGAGGCCATTGAAACTTCCTCAAACCCTCTCCATACTCAGGCAGACCTCATTGATAAGAGATTATTTCCCCCCACAAAATGGGTTAATCCAAGCATCCCTGTGTTGCCAAAGTAGATGGTTTGTCTGCAAGTACCACAATAGAAGTAATTAGGCTGATTGAGATTATCAATTGTCTTTTATAGTCACTTTCAATTAGATTACCTAGAATAGAACTGGTCTGAAGCAAGTAAAATGACGATAGTGAGTGTTTCCCAGGGTTGTTCTGAGAGTTAAATGACTCAATGCACGTAAAGTGTTTAGCACGGTGGTTCTCAAGTGGGAGCCATTCTGCCCTCACAGGGGCACCCGGTGGGGTCTGGAGACATTTGTCATTGTTGTTATTATTGTCAAAACTGGGGGAGAGTTGTTACTGGCATCTTCTGCTAAACATCCGGCAAAGTGCAGGACAGTCCCCTACAAATGCAGGTCTGTTTAGCTTAAAATGCCAGCGGTGCCGCGTGTGCGAAGCCTTGAGTTAGCGCAGTGTCTGTCCAGCCCATAGTAAGGGCTGTGTTTGTGTTTGCTACTGTTTTACAGGTGAGTCTTGTTGACACATGTTCTTACACCGTCTGAGGGTGGAGCCTCAGACTTTCTGGGTTGTGAAGCCTAGCTTTACTCTTTATTAACTGTGTGATTTTGAGCGCATTATTTGACTTCTTTCTACCTTATCTTCTTTGTCTGTGACACTGGAATATCAATAGCAACTCCCACAGAGAGTTGCTGGGGAATTGAATAAAATAATCCATATAAAACATTCAATACCGTGCAGTAGCATGTAGTAAATGTTCAATAAATGTCACTAACTTTTGCTGTTGTTGACCCTTAAAAGGTCTTTCCTCAGAATATAGTGAAGGGATTGGAGATGATTTTAACAGGAAAAAAAAAGAAAATATGTCGCTCATATAAAGTATATACAAGTGTATATTTCATACAATTAAAGAAAACTACATACAAGTTAAATCAAAACCATCTTTTCTAAGGCTGTTATTTATTATTTTAAAAAAAGTATATTGCTCTTGCTCTCTTGGTAGAGCAGATCCTTGAAATAAAGGATTCTGTCATTAAAAAAAAATAATAATGTGTCAAACAGATAGTCACCAGAGGGGAGGGGGAGGGGGATAATAGGGGAAAGAAGGGGAAGGGTCATCAAGGAACACATATAAAGGACCCATGGACAAAGCCAAGGGTGGGTAGGACTGAGGGTGGGAGGTGGGGGTGGGTGGGGCAGGGGGGAGTGGTGGGTATAATTGGAGACAACTGTACTTGAACAATAATAAAAAAATAAAAAATAAAATAAAATAATGTGTCCAGTATATAATGTAAATTATTTAATTGAGACTTGCAGTCTTGATTAGAAGTACAGATACATTAAAGCATTTTAGGAACCAATATGAAATGTAAAAGTGTTGACTACTAACACTAACACAGTAGCGACAATCTTTTGTGCTTTAGATTTATTAATCTCTCATTCCTTTATAGAGGTAGCAGGGAGAAACCCACAGTGGGTGAGTGTGCAGATCTGTAAACATTCTCATTTTATAATCTAATATTTGTGAAGGTTCTTTGGAAATTGTAAAACAGAATGATGCAAATGTGTGCCTTTACCATTATCGTCAACTCTCTCTAATGAGTTATTAGAGGGTCAGATGTTGCCATTGTGAGTGAGATGGCCCTGCTTCTTAGTCTAACATGTGTTCCAGGTAGCCAGAATCAGGCTACTAGTAAGTTTTGCATTTAATAAACTACTTGATAAACTATGAGTTATTTGGTATAATATTGTAGATACAATGAAGAAGATTTGTGTTTCTCAGCATAAAACTTTAAAGTTCATAATCTACCATATTTTATATTCTGTCACAGAATAGTTGAGGGGAGAAAAAACCCACCATATACAAAACAGAGGAACATAACAACCTGGGAAAAATGTTTGCAACATATATGGCAGAAGATACATATTCTCATTAGAGAAAAAGGCCTATAAAGCAGCTACAAGGATATGAGTACTCTAATAAAAGTCATGAATAAGCAATTCACAAGAGAAGAAATTGAAATTTCCAGTAAATATGAAAAATGACCAGAGACTTCTGGTCAAAATGGAGGCGTAGGTAAGCACAACTCACTTCCTTGCCCAACCACATCAAAATTATAACTAAAATATAGAACCACCATCACTCAGATCTGTCAGAAATTGAGTTGAATGGAAGTCTGGCAACTAAGGAATTAAAGAAACCACTTCTATCCAGAATGGTAGGAGGGGTGGAGATGCAGAACAGACTGGTCCCCCACACGCATGGGTAAATACAAATTCAGGAGACATATCTCAGGAGCGAGGAGTCCCAGCCTCACACTAGGATCTCCAGCCCAGGGTTCCAGTGCCAGGAAGATAAGTCCCCATAATTGCTGGTTGCAAAAACCAGTGGGGATTGAGTTGGTGAAAGAAACTTCTGGAGTCCCAAGCATAGACGTACTCAGACTTGCTCCCTCTGAGCTGTAGCAACAGGGTAACAGCTTGAAAGGCACCAGTGGCAAAGAGAAAGGAAATGAAGTAGAAAGGAAATGAAGTATCTGGCATCAAGGAGAGAGCTGGGGGACAGCTTTGTCCGAGACAGAATGGTGGGCAGAGGCTATGGTCCCTTTTCTGATCCCTCCCCCAACAGAGCCGCAAGCAGGTGTCATATCTGAGACTCCATCAATCTGGATAACACTGCCCTGCCCCGCAGATCCTCTGAGGCTCTGCCCCACCCATCTTATGGGCTTACTTTAGCTGTTAATAGTAGCTTTCCCATGTGAATAGCTGATCTCAGCTCACAGTTCACAACTTCTTAAATCCTCTCAAACAAGCATAAGCCAACCTCAGTGAATCCCCAGACTTCTGTATTTTTTGCTAAGTGGCCCCAGGCCTGGCAGTAGAAGCAGCCAGTCTAGATACACAGCTTGGATTCACCTGGGAACCACCAAGCCCAGCACAAGTAACAGCCATCTCAGATGCTTTATAGCTCAGACAGGGTGGCTTCAGGCAAAACACAGGCGGGGGCTGACCTTGGCCTGCATCACCTGGAAAACCACAGAGTGTGCACACCCAGTGGAGAGCTGCAGCCCAGGTCGAAGCACCACCACCCTGCCCGTACACAGCTGATCCTCCGTGGAGGGCAGAGGATGGTGGTATATAGTCACAGACAGTCCTTGCAGCTGACTGGCCTGAGTAAACCCCTTCCATTGATCTGCCAATAGCAACTAATGCTCAACTACAAGAGGAGGGTTTACTCAGCCCACACAAAGGGTGCACCTTGAGTACCCAGTGTGAGTAATAAGGGGGGCTGTGTCAATGGACCCTACAGGTCCATAGCCTACTATGGGCCCTATGTAGTAGGTCCATAACCTACTACATTAGGCTATGCTACCAAGAGAAGGAGTCATAGCAGCTCTTCCTAATACGTAGGGAAAAAAAAAAAAACACAGGGAGGCTGCCAAAATGAGGAGACGAAGAAACATGGACCAAATGAAAGAATGGATCAAAACTCCAGAACAAGAACTAAATGAGATGGGATAAAGAATCTATCAGATACAGAGTTCAAAACACTTGTTATAAGGATGCTCAAGGAACTGAGTGAGGACGTCAACAGCATAAAAATTCCAGCCAGAAACAAAGGATACACTAATTCAAATAAAGAACAATTTATAGGGAAGCAACAGTAGAGTGGATGAAGCTGAGAATCAAATCAATGATCTGGAACATAAGAAAGCAAAAACAACAAAACAAAACCAAACAAAAACCAAACAACCAATCAGAACAAGAAGAAAAAAGAATAAAAAAAAATGGGGATAGTGTAAGCAGCCTCTGGGATGACTTCCAGTGTTCCAACATTGGCATCACAGGGGTACCAGAAGGAGAACAGAAAGAACAAGAAATTGGAAACCTATCTGAAAGAATAATGAAAGCAAACATCCCTAATTAGTGATACCAGTAAGATGGGGAAGTATGAAGGGACAGGATCTGCCACCTCTCCCCACCAGCATCTCTACTGAAGATGCTGTAGACCAACTTCCCGACACGCCTCAGTCCAGTAAGCTGCGTGGGCAACGACTCGCATCAATTATCTTCTTCCCTTGAATGATTCTTGATGTCCTTCATAAAATAAGCCTAATATTTGAAGCCCTACTCCCGTCTGACTGTTCTTAAGCTAAGGTCCTAACGTTTCTTGACCCTTGATTTCTATCTATCAAATCCTTGTACTCAATCAGAAGAAAAGACAGTCTATTCATCCTCATAATATATTCACAGCATGACCTTTGTTCCTTCCCTCCTACTCCCCATCACCATTGTTCCGTGAAGCCCAGGGCTGGGTGGATAACAACAAGAAATAGGGTACATGGAAACAGATGGGTGATGAGAATACAAGAGAGAGTGAACCAGAATGATGGAATAAAAATATTTATTTGCACATATTCTTTATTCATTATGAATTTTTCTACCCTCCATATATTCTAAACAAAGTACTTGATTTCACTAAGCTTATTATAATAAAAGTTTTTTTTGAAATGGGAACTGAAAAGGTGGATTCTGTAACAATAAATACTGTTCATAGACATAATGATGTTGAGTCCCATTCTACTGCTTTTATACAGTGTAGTACAGTAGAACTACCAGCATTACCTTTTTTACTGTTTACTGTCCTCTAGACATACTGTTTTCTGAACACCAGAATCCAGCACGCTGCCTGCCTCGCACTTAAAAGAGGTCAACAGTCATTTAATGAGTAAATGAATGAATGATGTCTCTACAACCAAGACATGACTGACAGTCGTTATTTTATTTTTGCTGAGGAAATTGTGGGTTTATATTTACTCACACAGATTGCTCAATGAGAAAATAGCTTCAAATTTAGATGCAGACAAGACCCTTTCACTTCTTGAGATCATTTCTCTTTTTTTTTAATCTTAATTAGAAAATAGTGTGAAAGGGCTTCTTTGAGGGTCGTTTTCTTAGTGTCAAGTGACTCAGAATGAAGAAGTCTCAGTTCAAGGCCTCTTTTTTTTTTGAAGTCTTACCCAAAAGGAAGTATGAGGTGAATTGCATAAACTTGAAGTACGACAGAGACAAAACTTAAAGCAGGAAGAGCCTTGCCATCACTGTGCTGGATGGGGACACGTGTGTCATGTGAACAGACATGACAAAAACAGCCCTCCTTAAGTTACTTTTAGCGATAGTGATCACTTTCATTTTAATTTTGCCGGAATATTTCAAGACACCAGAAGGTGAGTATATAATTATAAGCTATCTTTTCTTTTTCTAATTTAAAAAATCATGACAGCTAACCGTTACAGGAAATGTCCTTGCTTTGCATACCTGCTGCCTGGGCTAAAGCTCTGTGTCTGAAAAGCTAATAAAGTGAGACGGCAATTTCAGTGGACTGTTAGCACAGCTCAGGACCCTTAGTCACAGCACTTAATTACTGTAGCATGCAATTATGCAGTGAAGGGATGATTTAAAATTTGTGGTCTAGATTTCAAAGATTGCGTTTATAATAATATAATCATGTGATTTTTGCTTTTTAAAACAGTTTCTTTCAAAAGTAGTTTTAAGCATGCTTTTACATTCTGAAATTATTTTTTAAAGAAAATAACATTTATTATGTATAAAATGCTTGAATGCCCTCCAATACAACTATTTTGTGCAATAACTTACTATTGCTTTTTGAAAAACAAAAAAATATTTAGATATTTTCAATGTATAATTAGGGTAAAATGGGTGCAGATTTAAGCAGGTGTATGTGTGTATATATTTTAATGAAAGAAGAATGTACTCATTTCAGAGAATTGTGATGATTGCTGAACTCTACAGTAGAAAAAATAAATAGATGTAAGCTTAAAATATTCTTATATATCAGTAAAAGATATGAAAATATATTAATCTGACTGTTGGGATGATTTGAAAATACATTAATGTGACTGTTTGGCTAATAAATGTCCCTAGCATTTAATAAAAAGAAAAAATAAAAACAGTTATGTATTATATCTTTAAAAGTTATATAAATATGATTAAAATCAAGAAAAATCTTTTTTTAAAAGAGTTTATTTATTTATTTTTTAGAGAAGGAAGGGAGGGAGAAAGAGAGAGAGAGAGAAACATCAATGTGCGGTTGCTGGGGGCCGTGGCCTGCAACCCAGGCATGTGCCCTGACTGGGAATCAAACCTGCGATGCTTTGGTTCGCAGCCTGCACTCAATCCACTGAGCTACACCAGCCAGGCTAAAATCAAGAAAAATCTTATATTTGATGACTTGTTACAATAATTATTATTGCATATACATAATGCTAAGTAGACAGATAAAAAAAATTTGGGTAAATAAACACCATAATTGTGTAGTTTTGTGAACAATTGGATTTTTCAAATTTCTCTTGGTTTTCTGGCATTATGTTGCTCAGGTTAAACATATATATATTCAAGTTAAAAAATTAGTGACAGTTACATTCAATATAGTTTTATGTTGGTTTCAGGTGCACAACAGCACAGTGCTGAGACAATCGTGCACCTCACACAGTGTTGTCCTGACATTGCCGGCGCCCACCGGGCACCGTGCAGTTATTACATGACATGTATTTTTAATTCTTGATTTCACTGAGGGAAAATGCAAAAAGAATAGTTAGATTTGGACTAGAAATAATTTATTCCAATTTTTAAGCTATTTTGGACTGTGAGTAAGCTCATTTAATAGTCATCTAAAGTGGGTCATATCAAGATGTATATGTATATATATATAATCTCCAAAAAATCAGGTTGGATCTAATGAAAACCAGGTAATCAGTCCAAAAAAGATTTAATAAACTATTTGCTAACTATTGGTTAGTACTTATGAGAGGCGCTGACTGCCAACATCGACAATAATTGTTTTCCTCGTTTCCTAACCGATTACATCTGATCCCAATACCACCTTTACTGTCTCCACAAACTCGAAATGACCATTTCTCTTTTTCCTGCTTCAAGAACAGAAGAGATATTCCCTTGGACTCTCTGGGGTGACAAACTTATTTGGGAATTTTGTTTCAAAGATAGCCCTTGTCGAGCCAACAAACAAAATGTTTGAAAACCACCATCTTATCTTGATATTTTGTGGCAGAAGGAATTTTTCCCAGAGCCACCATAAACAAAAAACTTGATTATTAGGCAAAATGTTTTATATGTACAGTAGTATAAGAATAATCTGTTACAGGTGCTGTAGTGTAGTAATAATGCTTTATATCTTATAATGGTTTATGGATCACCAGGGAGAGTTCATGTTGCCTCATTTTATACATAAGGGCACATATGAGGGACGACCCCCAAAAAACAGAATTATCTTCTAGAAGGCAAGCTCCTGGTAGTACAGGCTCCCCCCGCTAGGTGAGCATTCTAGGAGCCCATCTGTATCAGTGTACCAGCTGGCATTGTTGTGAGAGGCTGCATTCAGCTTCAGTGAATTTTTTTGAAGACTTTCAATATGTTTGCCCATTTCATGATGGCTGGTTTACAAGTGCACCTGCTCACAGTGTACTGACTGTTCAGCTGTTCTTGACCCCAAATGACCGGACCTCTGTGCCCCATCATCCCTATTCACCTAGTCATGCCTGAGTGATGTTTTTTGTTTCCCTGGATAAAAAAAAGTCCTCAAAGTGAAACATTTTGCCAGTGTGGAAGGGTTGTGGAAGCAAAAAATGGCAGAAGCACTAAAAGGCATCAAAATGGAAGAGTTTAAAAACTGTTTGGGGCAGTGGAAAAAAAAGTCTGGATAGGTGTATTGCATCAAATAGAGAGTACTTTGAAGGTGACTGAAGTTTGAACATGTAAGAATAAACACACAATGTTCTTACAAATAAACCCCGTGTTTCTTTGATTCCCCTCGTAACTGTTTTTCTTTTTTTAATTAGTAACTTTTAAATCACAGTAATACCTAATGTCTTATGAAATGAGCTGACTTAGCTGATATAGTTCATAAAATACATCTGGTAAAATTATTTAGATGATAAGCTCAGAGTGCCTTATTAATGCTAAAATCAACCTTGAGATTTTCCTGTGTAGCTTCACCCTCCCTATCAGTTACTTGTGTCTTTTTTTCATTTTTTCTTATGTTCTATTCACTTTAATTTCTAAGATAAATATTATAAATGATTTTTACTTATAAATTATTCACTGATACTCTGTCTTCAACACATCAAATCAGTTAAAAAGGAATCTTAATGAGGAATAAATGTATTCACAAGGTTTAATAGATTTGATTTCAAAATAACAAACCCTCTGAAGGCCTATGTTAAAAATAGAGAAATGTGTTTGATCATTTTTCATCAAGAATGTATCTGAGTCTGAATAATCATTACTCGGAATATTCAATTATCATAATTACGCAGTATAATCTATTTATTCTAACTTTACTGAAGGAGAACCTTTTTAACAGTGTCTGGGAGTTTTAATGAGTTTGCATGGGGTGTGCACTGGCAAGAGAGCTTACTGTAAAACTTGCAGTTTATTTGAAAGGCAGCTTATACTAAAATTCAGTAATAGAGATTCAAAAAGGTGTGGATATATTTTGATTCAGTGCTACTTACAATTAAGGGAGCTGGGTTTCCTCAACCTTCTTTTGTTGAACTCAGTGTTTAAGAGAGAGAGAGACCTGGTTAACGCAGATAAATCTCAGTGATCTTTTATTTTTTATTCTTTCACTTATGAATACAGTGTAACTGTTCTAGGAACCCAGGGCTACAAAAAATGAAAGGCAGGCCTTCCTTCAAGGAGTTTTCAGTTGGGGAGGACTGGCTGGTGACTAAGGAAATATGATACCGTAACTACAGATGAGCACTGGGACAAGGTGCAATGGGAACACAGTAAAAGGCGCTTCTGGTCTATTGGGGGAAAGATGTTCCTTCCGTCTTTGCTGCGATGGGGAATAGCTCCCAGAGTTCCGCTGATCACCCTGTATTTCTCCTCACCTGCTTGCAGAAGCACTTTCTAAGAAAAGCAATCTTTATTGATTTTCAAATACAGTGTAATCATATAGATGTCTCAGAAATTCTTGAAAGCAAAGGTTGTAACGGGTTATGCAAGTGTATTCCTGGTGGTTTGTGGTGATGTGGGGCAGGAACAGTGTAGATGAAAACACCTCACACCTATTTTTATCTGGCTGTGTTGACTTCCTCACTTCTTGTTGAGAGCCAAACTGACATGAACTATGTTTACCAGCGTTCATTTCCCCTTCCTTCTCACACTTTCTGATGGAAGTGGTAGTATAATGAGTAGTGGAATTGAAGAAAACAAAGGATAAAGAAACTTTAAATACTCATCAACTGTAGGCTAAACCCTGAAGTACATAAGCATATCTACTATACATGACTTACTGTCTGCAATATGAAAAAGTGTTGAGTAAGGGTAACCACAGTGAATTTGCCTGAAAGTGTTACTCTATTTTTCAAAGATGGACACTTCATTTTCTTTTTATTGATTGGCTCATTAAAAATTTAACCAGTAATCCCTAATAAATTTTGAGATATAGTTTTATGATTATTTAAATTTTAAAAAAATTTAACAAATACTTATACATGTACCAGGTAGTATACCAAGTACTTTTACATAAAATAACTGATTTCAACTCATTAACTATTTAAGCTCATTCACAATGAAGCATCTTTCTCAAGATGCTATTCTGAAAAGCTTCAGAAAGAAGGACTGTAACTAGATGGGTAATTTTACTTTGTTGTGAGATTTGACTTCTTCCTGAACTTTATGAACTTTTATAGCTTTAAATGGCTGCTAATAGACACACTTCTTTACGTCTATATTTGAGACAACTTGTGCTGGCAGAAAACCACTGGTGAAGACAATGCTTTCCCACTGCCTTGGCAGGATTGGCTTATCCTTTCAGCATTAGGTTACAACACCAACAACCCGTGCTTAGGATTGTTTCTAACTGCTTGTCTCATTGCACTGGTGGGTAAATGCTCTCTCTGTACATCTTCTTTTAAAGCAGAAAAACATGACTTTCTCTAAAACATTAATACATAGTATATCTTCCCCTTGCACTGCTGTTTCTTTTCCCTGTAGACTTATCACCTATATAATTTTACCTATGATATTTATATTGTTTATATATATTAAATTTATATTGTTTATATGTTATATTGTTGTTGTTGCTGCCTGATTTCTCTCAATAGAATGTAAGCCTTATGAACATGAGGTTTCTGTCTGTTTTGCTCACATATCAAGCACGTAGGGCAGCATTTGTTGACTGAGTGGATTTTCTGAGTCATGTTGTAAAGCAAATGAAAAGGAAACATTCTTGAAGGGAGCATTTCTCATCTGATCTTCACGACCGTGTTTTGAGTTAGGCAAGCCAGGCATCACTATCCTCCTCTCACATTTTTAAAACATAAAATGTCATCCCGTATCTAGAACTTTCAGGCTGTGCAGCCTGTGAAATTTAGGTCACAGAATTTTTTACTTACAAGATACGTGTTAAAGCAACAAATGAACAGACAAGCCTGACCGACATGGAACAGGATGGTAGTCACCAGAGGGAAGTGGGGGTGGGTGGTCGTGAAGAGTAAAGGGGTCAGATACGTGCGGACAGAAGAGATGTGACTTTGGGTGGTGAACACACAGTGCAATATACAGATGACGTATCACAGAATTTTACTCTTGAAACCTATATAATTTTATTAACTGATCTCACCTTGATAAATTTAATAAAAAAAAAAGATATGTGTGTCTTTACTCTGAATCATCTTTACCATTTTTTCCCCCTGGAGAATTTCACAATATATTTTTATTTCTTGTTTTGACAAGTAAAACCTGTAGCCTTTTTCCTTTGTCCCAAATCTGCCTTTCACATACTGCTACCATAAGTTAAAAGTAACCCAAAACTTTGCCCCTTGTCCCCAGACATATTTCAAATTGTCTTCCTCCAGTGTTCTGTGAATAAATCCGTATCCTATCTAGACTCCCCTGGCTCCTGTGTGTGGGTGTATCATGCACACACAGCATGATCTTTTTTTACCCTTTCCCACTCAACATTATTAAGGAAGCATCAACATGAGATCCAAAAGGGAAATGTGATTGACTTTTTGCTACTGAAATTGATACTCTTTTGCATCTTTGCCAATTGTCACAGAGGCAGACCTGTGACCAAAGGAAGCAACACGTTAACCAAGGTCTCTCACAATTAAGCAGCAAAACGATACGCTCTCTCTTATCCTGGCAGTTAATATTTTTAAATTGCTAAATTATGCTATAGAATATCCAATAATGATTCAAGAGCTTTAGAAACAATTGGCTATGCTTGTTTTGCTCTCTTTTTTTTAAGGGCATAACTTACATACAATAAAATGGAAAAGATCTTAAGTATTCAGTGTCATGAATTTTGACAATGGTATGCACCTATGTAACTATAACCCATATAACTCATAACATACATGTTATTGAGTGTATCAATAGTTCCTTCTTTTCATTGCTAAGAAGTCCATTGTATAAACACACTAAATTTGTTCATTCATCCATTGGGCTGTTTCCAGATTTTTGCTATCATAAATATGCTGCTATGAACATTCCTGCACAAATCTTTGCATAAACGTATGTTTTCTTTTCTATCAGAAAACCAGTAGTAGAGTAGTTGAGTATATTTAATTTTATAAGAAACTGTCAAACACATCTCCAAAATGGTTGCACTAGCTATGTTTCTAGTGGAAAGATTTTATCTCCCCTAGTTTAAATTTAATATTCTAAAGCAATAACTCAGAATATGTGTTGTCTGAAATAATTCATGTTTCTTCCAAAGTTCCCTGGCAACTAGTTAACAGAGAGCCTTGGTACTGGGAAAATACGACTTGACGTAGAGTAGTTTCTGCAGCTCTTATTGTCTGTCAAATGGTGAAGGTTTTATTAGAAATTCTCACTTGTTTTTCAAGGTCAACAGAGAGTTGAGACTTCTGTTCTTATAGCCATACCTTGAAAAACATTCCTAGCACAAAAATCTAAAATGTGAGATGATGTGTTTAAAAATTTAAAAATGTGTAGTTGAACTGATGAGAACACTACTCAAAGGGGGAAAATGACTAGAAATTACAGGTCCACGTGGGTAAGCAACAGTGAACAGATTGGCCACTTCAGGAGCATCTGCCAATTCTTGGTGCCCTTAGAGGCTCAGTTTCACTGGGTCCCAGCAGGGGACAGAAGTCAAGCATAAGACAGGAACACTAAAAGGCACTGCAAAGGTTGTTTCCAATTCTTGGCTATCACAAATTAAAAACCTGCTATGAAAATTCATTTGCAGGTATTTGTGTGAACATATGTTATTAATTCTCTTGTGTAAGTTCCTAGGAGTAGAAGTGTTGGGGGATATGGTAAGTATATGAGGTCTGTCCGGAAAAAATCCAGCCATTATTAATATAATGAGAAGAGTTTGTGCCACATCAATGTAACCTGGTGGTCAAGGAGAGTGGACAGGAATGCACATGTGTGAACAATGAGGACGTCACTGTACTAGTCAGTGGGGGGGGGTGGATGCCACTGAGTGAGCATGTGTACTGTGTGGCCATCACATTCAAAATGACTGAGTAAGTAGAGCAACAAATCTGCATCAAATTTTGCATTAAGCTTGAACATTTCTCCATGGAAACTATTGGGATGATTCAGAAGGCTGAAGCTATGGGCAGCTGGTGCTTGGCAGCTTCATCACGACGATGTGCCTGCTCATGCATCACATCTCGTGCAGAGTTTTTTGCCAACACATCAAATCACCCAGGTGACTCAGGCCTCCTACAACCCAGATTTGGTGCCCTGTGACTTCTGGCTTTTCCCAAAACTAAAATCACCTTTGAAAGGGAAGAGATTTCAGAGTGTTGATGAGATTCAGGAAAATATAATGGGGCAGCTGATGGCGACTGGGAGAACTGTGTGAGGCCCGAAGGTGCCTCCTTTGAGGGGGACTGAGGTATCATTGTCCTATGTACAGTTTCTTGTATCTTGTATCTTCTTCAAAGATGTCTCTATTTTTCACATTACATGGTCAGACACCTTATGGACAGACCTCACATGTTTAACTTAAAGAAAATGAAAATCTGTTTTCCAAAGTGGTTGTAGTATTTTACATTCCCACCATGTATGAACATGTATAGTTCATAGAAATGTTATTCAAAATGGCAAAAAATAGAAACAACCCAAATGTTCACTGTCAAAGAATGAATAAATTGTGGTATATTCATTCAAATGAATACCACAAATAATTAACTGCAGCAACATGTAACAACATGACTAAAACATATTAAGCAAAAAAGTAAGTAATAAATGAACACATACAGTATATTCCATATATCTGTATACATTTCTAAAATGTTAAATAATGTAATGTTATTTAGGAATAAATATACTTTGGAAAGCCTCTACAATAAAGCACAGAGGTGATAAACACAAAATTCATGATAATGGTTAACCTCTGGGAGAGAAGGAGTGTGTAAGGATGGATGGGAAGGGTAGGGTGCTTTAAAGATGTTGTTAATATCGTGTCTCTTACTCTGTGACAAATACATGGTGTTTATGTTTATTATCCTTTAACTGGCACAATACATTTTATATATGCTTATATATAATTTGTTTAAAAGTAAAAGCTAAAAAAATATAAAGATAGTTTGTGTTATTTTGTTTTTCTTTAAAAAGAAAACATGACTGACTTGGGCATTGGTCCTATAATATAATATACTTTTTTATTCTACTTAGCATTCTGTATACTTACTCTGAGACATTGCAGTCTTGGTAGTGGAGTGATTCTGGAATGTGTTCTTTCTCTGGGAGTGAGAATTTAGATGTCTGATTCCCAGCAACATTATTGCCAGTAGTTAAATTCATAAATCCTTGTTTATGGAGATGGAATATAGCCCATCTGATAACAAAAATGACTGAGTAGGATTCATTTATTTCTTAAAATTATACCAGGGAAGGATATGCCCTCGATTTATTTTCCAGTTGAATTATTTAAAACTAAGGTTTAAAAAACATAAAATGACTTCACAGTCAAGTGTAAAGGATATATCATCAATTCTAGGAAGCCCAGATGGCCACTCATTGGATGAGACTGCAATATTGACAGTAAAAATTTCCCTACCTCCCTTCTCGGTCATAGCATAAGAATATAAATTCAAAAAGTTGAAGATTTCATAAGATATAATGTCTAGTGAGGAAAATGGAAACATGGCAAGAAATAAGTTTTTCATGTATTTGAGTAATATTAAAAAAGCTATAGAGTTCTATCAGATGGTACAGTTCTATTTCCGTCCTGGGACAGTATTTTTTAAAAATTAGCTACTATTTGATTACAACTTTGTTTATAGATAAATTATAAAATTGTGTATTTGAGTAAATTACCCCCCACCCCCAATCATTTGTAGCAGCTCAAGTATGAAATGTGTTTGTAGCTGGAAATCACATGAATTATTACAGAAGCAACTTCAAATATAGAGGGTAATAAACCTTTAATTTATTAAATAATAAAAATATAACCATCAGTAATGAAGCACTTAATGGAACTGGTAACAAAGCACAAATTACAAGCAAAAAAATTTTTAATGTGAATCAATAGCTTGCTTTTCTTTTAAGTTTTAGTCAAGATGTATGATTACAAGAAGTAAATTTTTAAAAATGGAGTAATTCTTCTATAGTGTGTGTCCACATTATTTGGAAATTTAAAAAAATGTATTTTGCCCTATATGATGATATGAGAATTGGTAAAGAAAAACACGTGCAAGTGGAATCGAGCATGCTACTTATTTCCTTGTACCTGAAAATGACTGGCGGACCGGGAATGTCTGAAAGAGAGGGCTCCTGCTCCTTGGGAGGTCACCACGTCCAAGCAGGGATGCCCAGTTTTTATATACTAGCTTTATTTCCATGAAGTGTTTCATTACTGATGATGGAATATGGGTTTTTATTTTAAATAATATACATTTGGATAATGTTTGAAAGTGTTTTCAAGCTGCTATCACCCCACGAGGTGAGCAGGATCTAGAGTTACTATCTTTATTTTGCTGATGAGGAAATGAGACTAATGGAAATCAAATCCCTCCAGTACCTTGGCACCAAAGTCTTGGTTTTTTGTTTTAAACTTGGTGTTTTTTTTCTATTTAGACCATCATTTCCTTATCTGATGTTTGTCTTCAGACAAAAATAGAAGTTATGTTAAATTTCATCTTTGGAAGTTCAGGTAGGCTGAGTCATGGCCACCCAAACATTAGGTGCTAATCCTTAGAACCCATAAACGCTATCTTATAAGGGGAAAAGGTCTGTACTGACCTGATTAAGTTAAGGGTCTTGAGATGGGGAGGTTATCCTGCATCATCTGAGTGAACCCTAAATCCAATCACAAGTGTCCTTATAAGAAAGAGGCACAGGGAGATCTGACAGAGACACAGAGAAGGCAACAGGACCGCACGGGCTAAGTTTGGAGTGGGACAGCCACAAGCCAAGGAATGCTAGCAACCACCAAAAACTGGAAGAGGGGCAAGGAACAGACTCTTCTCTAGGACCTTCAGAGAAAGTGCAGTCTTGCAGACACCTAGGGTGCAGACCAGTAAATTTGGTGTTAAACTTCTGGCCTTCAGCATGGTAAGAGAATGAATTTCTTGTTTTAAGCCACCAAGCTTGCAGTAACTTGTTGCACAGCCCTCGGAAACTAATAGAGATACTGTTCCTGGTTTTCATTCCCTGTTCGACTCCATGGAACTGACTTGGACCTCTAGGGTAGCGCAGAGGAACTCAGAGGAACCTAATGTTTGCCCATTAAAACTTTCCCAGAAGAGAGAACGGTTAAGATGTTAGGATTTCATGCACTTCTCTACAAGGACTGTTGGCTGAAAATGAATAGAGAATGTTGATAAATTTTAAAAAGGAATATTTAAATGAGGTAGCTATTGTTAATTCATGTAAAAACAAAGTCTTGTCATTGGTAAGCTAAAATGTACTGAATCCACCTAAGAAAAACTGAGAGCTTTCATTGTGTACTTATTTGAATGCCCAAAGTTCAAAATTTCATAGTAAAGAAAGGTTTTTTTTTTTCTCTTTATAGGAAACATATTGGAGCTATCGTGTCTGGAAGTATGCTTACAACCTAATCTCACCTATTCCCTCTCCTCCTTAAATTTTTCTTATGTGACTTTTCTGGAGCCAGTAAGGGAAACAGAGACTATAATGGGAATATTTCTAAATCACTCCAGCTTTCAAAACTTCACCAGAATGTGCCAAGACACCACCAGTGAATTTACAATGTGCTCCTTATGTTTGGTTTGTGAGTCCAAAGAAAACACGGATTTTATTTCTCAGGAACAGACATCCCAAGGTAAATGCAAAGGGAAAGTGAGAATAAAATTTATCAAGGATGAATGACCTTGTTCTATTATAAAAGATATTAATAGCATATTCCAGTTTTGAGCCCACTGGCATCGGGACACTCCCTGGGGCGGTTCTTGACGAGGGACTTGCGGGGCTTCGGGGTGTTCCTCGTTCTTGCTGTACTTTCTCAAAAAGAACATATACTTAAAATAGGTCAAAATGCCACTGTAATTCATAGTCACTTGATGGTTAAAAAATTATTGGACATGAGTTTTCAAAGGTATTGAATTTAAAGAAATGAATTTAAAATATGAATTTAAAAAATTCTTAGTACACTTGTAAGTTCCTATAGTAAAAAAGAAAATCACACTTTGACTCTCTAAAGAGCCATTGAATTCTTGATACATTTGTAATATCCATATTTTGCCGTGTGTATAATACACACTTTTTCCCCAAGTTTTTGAGTGAAAAATAAGGATGCACATTATACGTGAATAGCACTCATTTGTTATTGGTACATAAGATTTCTTGTACCTTCTATCTGTTCCTGTGTTTTGTAATTATCTGTCACACAAAATTTTTTACACTATAATATGTTCAAAATTAATTGCTAAAGGTCTTTATAATACAAAAACCAAGCATCTAAATATAAATAAATAAAAAATTGAATTCAAAAATTAAAACAAAAGATTTTTTTCCTGAATGTGTGGGCCAAAAACATGGGTGTGCATTGTACATGGCAAAATACGGTACTTCTGCCTAATGTTTACCCCCTGTGTATGAGTTGTCGTTTTCCCTGTCTACCTATCAGTGAACCTCTTGATGGCAAGGACTTCGTCTTTGTTCACCAGCATATTTCTATATCTCAGAATGTGATATTATCTGAAAACAAGGTTATTGCCCATGTCATTAGTTAAGATGAGCTCAATAGTGTGGCCGCTAACCCAGTATGACCAGTGTCCCTATAGAAAGGAGAAACATGGACACGGACAAGCACAGAGGGAGGGCGCCAGGTGGCATTAAAGGCAGAGATCAGGGTGATGCTCCTACTAGACAAAGGGCGCCAGGATGGCCAGCAACCCCCAGGAGCCAGCGGGGAGGCATGGAGCACATCTTACCCTTAGAGCCCTCAGAAAGAAGCAACTTGGCAACACCTTAACCTTGAAAGTCTATCCTCTAGAACTACGAGACAATACATTTCTGTTGCTTAAACCACCCAGTGTATGGTACTTCACGATGGCAGCGCTAGCAAACCAGTGTCATGGGGGATGAGAAATATTGTCGTGACAACTTTGAAAAATAAGGTCTGTTCCACAGGCTGTCGTGGAAACACCCGTGTTTTCTTTGAGATGCTCTGCTCTAGTTCAACCCCACTGTCACCCGGTTTTCACCGTCTCACAAATGTAAACCATTACTTTGAATGCAGGCAACGTCTGGTTTCTTCTTTTTTGTGTAGGGAGGAAAGGATTTAGTTCTGAGTTGTATTACTATGCATTACTATTTTGTGAATAACGTTTTCTTAATCTCTCTCTCTAGTTCTTATCATGAGAGGATCCATGGAAGTGAAGACAAATGATTTTCACTCAGCGTGTCTGCACTTGAACTTCACGGTGGAGCCTGCGGTTGACCACTTGGAGGAATATAACATCACTTGTACTCTAAAAGCAAACGCTAGAAGTTCAACAATCATGGGGGAAGATCCAACCATGGAAAAGTCAATGAACCATACTTGTAGAATCATGAATTACTCGAATAATTGCATACACATTTCCTTGCACCTAGAAATGGATGTAAAAAGTAAGTTTTAAAGGAAATTAGAGGGAAAAGAGAAATTATATAAGGGTTATCACATTAACTTCACCAAAAGTCAAATAGTTGAAGAATTTTGTTGATGAAATAATATGGCTAGAAAAATGTTAGCCCTTTTATCTGCTTTTTTTTAAGCTTTTCAATTTGTGCTTTCATGGGGCCCCACTATACCCAGAGACAGAAGCGGCATCTATGGGTTGTGATGTGAGGGTCACTAGAAAGACCCTCTCTTAGAATAAAGGCCTTAGAATAAACTTTGGACATGCCTTTAGCTGTGCTCGAAGTCATACCACTACACTCGGGTATGAAAAGGTGAGATTTATTTTTATATGTGAATATCCATGTATACTGCAGCATGCTATTAAAATTTTATTTCGAGTTGATCTGACATGTCCTCTCTTAGAGCTGAGAACCAGGCCTGGATTAATTGGGATTTTTGATGGAAAGCTGAGAAAATAGGCAGGGTCCAGGTCAGGCAGTTTGGGTCACTGGATGGCTTGCGGGGACCGTAGGGGCCCCAGAGACAAAACTTACGTATGTCTTAGTTCTGTTGAAGACAGCTTAACTTCCTAGTCACACTCTTCCGAATTCCCACAATTGATACTTTTTTACTAAGCAGTGTACCCTTACCTCCCCCCACAAAACCTGCTCTCGAAGAGCATTTACAACACAACCATCGAACAAGTGCCTGCCGCCTGCCAAGCATCATGCCAGGCATTGGAGACACAAAGACAGATGAATGTGAAACAATCCAGCAAGTGCACTCAGGGTGACAGGTGCGACGGTAGAGCAACTTGCTGTGCATCTGGAGAGTCTAGACATGTGGGGGCCTTTCTGATGACTGCAGAATGGTTTTCTAAAACTTTATTTTTGAGGCAGTTATTTTCAAAACATTTTATATTTATTTTAAAGCAAATAGAAATAGATAATATGTCTGCATTTTTCAAAGTAAAATACATGACCTCAGAGAAATTTTGCTAGCGAGTTAGTCTGCCCAAAGCCCTAGAGCCTCTGTACTTGGGAGGCATGTCAAGATGTGCATCTGTGTGTGGGGATGGGGAGGGTGTGAGACAGTTGACCCCTCTGGGTCAGGGGTGAGGTTGGAAGGTAGGCTTTGGAAAGACTGCCTGTGGAAGGGGACTGTGATAAAATCTGAACAATAAAGAGGTTTGAATTATAGATACTAAAACATTCATTTTAATGTGCATTTATGTATCCATCTAATTGTATTTTATGTTTTCTAAAACATAAAGGGAAAGATAATCATTTTGATTATTCTGATTTTAAGAGGATTTCTTTTTGTGGAAAATCATGAAAAAAAACCCATTAATTCTAGTAAGAGTGAAATGACAGTTAATTTTTCTTTGTGCCCATAATTCAGAAAGATAACAGGGGTGCACAAATGGGTAGTCTCGTGTTCTGGAAAAACTATCCCTTTTGCCATGTGTAAAAGATTAAAGAATTACGTGTTTTTTCCTCTGCTGTGCAAACGCTAATGTGATCTTCTTTAAAAGCCTTGTCCACCAGGGGATGAAACTAAATTTAGTCCAATCTGGTAGATTTACTCTGAAACAATACTTTAAACTGTTGCTTTAGATGTTTTTCAGATTCCTGTCTGTTTCCCCTTGGTTCTCTGCAAGATGGCCTCAGGGACGTGGGGAGATGACACTGGGCCCCAATTGTGCACAGTCTGCTCTGGCAGTATCAAGTCGGTGAATGCATGTTTTTTTTCATAGCTAGACCAGTGCCCAGTGACACCTTGGTCATGGGACCCACCCTGGCTCTTGCTGGCACTGCAAATCTTCTGTTCCAATTAACTGCCTGCCTGTATCTTGCTGAGTGAGAAAGGCAACCGGCTACCGTGGAATGATACCAAGGAGGCTGAGTGCGGCCACCCCAGGCAGCTCTCACCTTTCCTCCAGCCAGTCTCTCCTCTAAATGAATGTTCACTGCTTATGCAACGAACATCTGCCCGCAGACAGGGCGCCTGGGAGAGGAGCACCACAGGGCGGTCATCCAAGGATATATAAACAAGTTATATATCTGGCTGAGTTGACTAAGCACTGGCTGTGTTTTGTGTACAGGGAAGAGGGTACGGAGGATGGCTTAGAAAGTCAACCATCCTCCCCACGTTGCCTCGCTGTCATTTGAATGAACAAGTTTTTACCTGTATATTCATTAAACATAAACTGGGATAACTGCATGTTTAATTACCACATGCACTTGTTCTGATCAACGCCGTGAGAGCCCCTGCGAAAAGGGGTTCTGGTTATTCACCTGCCCTGGCCTCTTTTACCTCCTCTGCTCCAGCCTAGCCCTTTCGCTTTGCCTGCTTTTCCCTGTCTTCCCCATCCTCCTCATACTCAATGCATCTTTGTTGATTTGAGGATGTAATTTTTGGCTGCTTGGCTCTGTTGTGGTCTTAACCCAGTGCCAGTGATAGAAATGACAATGAAACTAACACCAGCATGACTTGCAAATGAAATTAACCCTAGAATTTTGGACCTAACTTGATTCCTGGAAGCCTACCTAATCAAGTTTCCTCATTTCATACATGAGGGAAGAACTCGGGAGAGCAAATTACCCTATGAAGGGATGTTATTTACTATTTAGCTTTTTGGGAAAGGGCAGAATATGTACTAGAACCCAGGTCTACCACTACATAGTGTCTCATTTGTTGCACCATTTTATTGTATTTTTATAATATTTTTTTCTTTGCAGATTTCTATTGTTCCATGAAGATCACTTGGTATATTTTAGTAATATTAGTTTTTATATTTCTGCTTATCTTCACTATCCACAAAATACTTGAAGTCCATAGGCAAATGCGGAAGTGGCAGAGTAAGTATTGAGAAATAAATCCATTATTTGGGATATTCTATTTAGTTTCAAGGAACTCCCAATCTTATCTATAGATTCAATTTCTTTTTTAAATTCAACTTACAATTTACTGAGTACTACTGCATATAAGTGGTGAGTATCAGCATAAATAAGACAAATGCCAGCATTCAGGAAGAATCATGTGTCTTTCCTCTACCCAGACAAGCAAATAGGAGGAGAAGGAAGAATGGGAGAATCGAAAGAAAGTGATGGACTGAAGGTTGAGCAGGAGCTGAGTGGAAGTGAGTGGAGAAGAGAGGTAGAGGGATGGAGAGTGGGGACAGGGAATTTTAGAGTTGGGGGTCTTGAGCAGAGTAGCTCCAGGTGATGAACGTCAGTAGGAGCCAATCTGTAATAAGTGAGAGTGTGTCAGCAGAGTTGAGGCTGGGATGAGTTAAAATGTGGAACTGAAAATCAGGATACTAGGGACAATATTAAAAATATGTAATGACTAGTATGATGCTCACCTGTCAGGATGGACACCGACTGTTAACTACTGCTCTGGCCCTACTGGCATGCTCCCCTGCATATATCAGCCCTGCTGGTGTGTACCTACCCATCTAGTGTGTACCGTGCATATACTGGCTGAATATCAGGCCTGATCAAAAGTAATTGGTCCCTTAAAGACATGAGAAAAACACATCACAGTGAGATTAGGCTTTGGAGATAAGTGGATGATTAGAATCCTAGTACTGCCACTTACTAGTTATGTGACTTTGAGCCAGTTGCTGATTGTATCTGAGAGTCCCTCTTCTCCTTTGTAAAACAAGGCTAATCACCATTACCTTCCAGGGCTGAAGTAAAGATTGAACTGAAGAGATTACACAAGAAATGAACACAATGTCTAGTGCACTGGTAATGCTCAGTAAAGGAGAGTGGTATTGCTTGGATTATTGCTCAAAGCTCTTCTGTTCTTCTAGGCTGTCTGGCATTTCAGCAGGCCAAACAAATGGCTGCCTCTGGGTCTGAATGAAAGTTAATTTTTTCAGCTAAGTATTTGTTGCAGATATTTCTGAGGTCAATTTCATATCAAGTCTTGTCATGGATACCTTAGTATAGAAGACCCCCTAATGCATCGGTTGCTCATCATAATTTTTTGTATTTGTAGAATAACCATTTTCATAAGATTTTGTCAAAGTATGAAAACAGGTTATGTACTATTATTTTTATTTTATAGAGTAAGAAACTCCTTGGAGAGGTTGTTGTTTTGTCCAAAGCTATACAGCTAGTCAAATGTCAGTGTTAAGACCCAGGGGTCTTTCTAACTTTGAAAATTATATTATTTTAAATAAATTGTATGTTATTTGCAAATAGTACTCAGTTTTGAGTTTTTTTAATCAATTTTTTCTGTATAATTACACATTAAGAGGGAGATAAAGAAGCCGAAATGGAAATGGGTCTAAAAAGAGACGAAGAGTGGGAAGGACATTAGATTCCTACGAACATCTAGGCCCATGACAAGCTTAATAGCTTTCAAAGCCTTATCTTGCAAATTCAAACACATACAGCGAAGAAAAATGGCACATCATTTAGGACATTAAATATTGTTAAATATTAACTATACATTAAGTATTCCATGTATTATATCTATGTGTATACAAATAATATAACATTCTATACATAAGAACCAGGCATCTCAGAAGAGGCAACGGCATTATGACGTTTATGGCAGTGGAGAAGCCACTGGGTTCAGAAAGCAGCTGTATTTGTTAGTGAAAAGTAACTTAAGGAAAAGCTCTTAATGTCTTCCTATTCCAGGCCCTGTTGTGAATGGCCCATTTTCCTTGGTAATTCTTTGAAACAACACGGGGAATGTATTTTAGGAATGTGCTTGCTTATTATCTAAACGTTTAACTTCTGTTCTTGGAATAGGTCATAAATACAAACCTTCATCTATTCTGTTAAGAAGGAGTGATTCTGAGAAGCTTCGAACATTGAGTGAGCAAGCTCTTTCAGGTGAGCTCTGGGACAGGCGGACAGAACGCTGCTTAGGAGACTCCAGAGCTTCACACTTCAATATGAACTCCAGATCACAAGGTCTGTGCTCATTTAAATTGGTCCTGTATCTGCAAGAACGGAACGATGGGCAAATGATATCTAATTTCATATGTCTTATTATCAGGGGACAGTTACAATCAAAACTGCCTCCTTAAATAATGGAAAGTTTGCTCAACTGGCAAGAAGAAATTCATGTGGCTAGGCAGAATAGAAAAACCAATTAGGAATAAGTCTCAGATTTATTTTTAAATGAGACAAGATACCATTATTCCTCAGAGTTGCAAGGAGTAATTGCAGAACGAGCGTGGTTTTTGCTGGAGCCTTCACTAAGCAGAGGGTGTCACTGTGTAATGACAACTTCTAATAGTTCCAATTAAAAAGCCCCCTGTCCTCTCCCAAGAAACAGAAACAGAGTGAGGGAACCCTAATGAGCGCAGCAAGGGGCCGCTGGCACAAATGCTGTGATTCCATTTCCTCCTTCAAACTGTGAGGCCTCTTTCTAAATCTGAGCCACCGAATCATGTTAAAAAGAGAGAGAGGGAGAATCTGACACGGGCGAAGGGCTGTTCTCTATCAGGGAGAAATAATATCCTTGCACCTTTGAAAGCCACAGAATTATGAGTGATATTATTACAGCTCCTCATGTACAGCCAGTGAGCAGACCTCTGTGTACTCTGTGAGAAGTTACAGACGGAAACTTCATGCCTTGTGTGTAAACTGTTTTCAAAAATGCAAGGAAATGGAACAAACCCCGAGCACCGTCTCCCTGCCTTCTGCTGCATCTGTAGCCACGTGGAGATCTGCATGCTGTTTCGTTGGGTACTCCACTTCTGAGACTTTCCCTAGCTATTTAAAGTAGCCCGTACCCAGCCCCTTAGCTTGAACAAAAATTGGATTGGGTGCACCTAAAGAGCTCACTTTTATTTTTAAAAAATTAGTTTTCTATTTTCAGTATCAGCAGTAAAATTATTAACCTGTGGTTAATCAGCATTAGCTAAATAGTCATTGGATACTAGCTAAAGGTGGAGAGAGTTGGTGGAAATTTTGGGTGCTCAGTGACAATTTTGTTTGGTTAATGAACTAAAAATCACAGGGTTGTTTCCAATGGCAAAATTACTTTTTTTAAATCCTCACCTGAGGACATTTTTTCCATTACTTTTAGAGAGAGAGGAAGGAGGAAGAGAGAGATAGAAACATCAATTGGTTGCCTCCTGTACTAGCCCTGACTGGGAGTTGAACCCACAAGCTTTTGGTGTACAGGATGCCGCTCCAACTAACTGAGCCAGGACTCAAACTTATTTTCAAAGGCAGAGAACAGTGGTTCCCCTTGTGTCTCTTCTTATCCAGTACTTGGGCCTGACATCCATACACCAGGAACGTTTTAACCTGGCTCTGTAGGGCCTTTTTGCTTGCCTTAGGGAATCCCAATCCTTTCTCTTTTCAAGTCCTAAATCTGAGCACTGCAGTCTTGTCAGAGAAGTCAATAGTTCCCCCTGTCAACATAGAGAATCGAGGGAATCACAAATTTAAAGTTCTAGCTAACCAAAAGACTAACCTTACACAATGTATTTATGAGCCTGTGATTTTCATTCACCAAGGAAACCTGCCTCAGTCACTCTTTCCCTTTAACAGCTCTCACCAAAAATCCACTGGTTTCATTACCAGGTATAGAATATTAATGTTTAGAGCATGCCAAGGGATGGTGGCCTGTTTTAAAATGGAGAGCCCTTTTGAGGTTCAGCATCTTAAAGGGGATAAAAAGCAGATTCTTTCTTGTTATTGATATTCCTTTAACCTACACATTTTTCCTCCTCCCATTGTAAGTTGCTCTTTCTGAGAGAGAAATGGAGAGGAAATAATGTCTCCCTCGAGTGCTGTTTTTAAGGCCTCTCTTTGTAATGATGGATTATAGGCAGTAGTGAGAATGGAAGGAAAAAATGTGCCAGTGTGGTTCTCTGGAGGAGCAGTAACATGAGTTAAAAAAAAATGTAGTTCAAAGACAGCAGGGACTGTAGTCACATTCAGCAGAGCAGCCTGCCGTTGACACTGGCTGCTCAGTCCCGAATGTCTCTCTAGTTGTTCATGCTTTACAAAGTAAGCATTGTTACACATGCAAACGCAGAGACATAGATAGGCTCACACCCTCAAAAAGACAAGAGAGAAATAAGAAGAGGTCACCAAGACGCTGGCACTGCACAGTGCCTGGCACGTAGTGGGGGCACAGCAAACACTGATGGGAAAAATGAGTCTCGTTGCTATAGAAGAAGTCATACAGAATCGAGTCCCAAGCTTTCATACTCCCCGAGATTTTCTTCCACGCTTTGAGGAGCACGCTAGCATATGTTGCCTGTTTGGGCACTGATCTATTTCATATTTAATTCATTTGACTATTATCTTCACACAGGAATGATTCTGTCTTATGCACCTTTGGATGCTTGTCCCTACATAATATCAGGCATGTAGTAGTTCATAGACAATGAAAGCTTATTAAATCACACAAAACCTAGGGGAAATGTGTATAGAGAAAAGAGCAGATGAACAAGAAATGAATCTCGGGGGTGCGAAAGGTGAAACAGACAGACAAAGAGTGATCAGATGGAACATCACTCTACTTCATTAAAGAACACATTACACACTTTATAGAAATCATCAAGGAGTGATGCAAAACACTGATGATCTTGAAGAAGAGATTTTGAGAATTGTGCAAAGGCAGCTTTGACATGTATCCCTAGAAATGATGCTTAATGAGTTGACCACACGGGAGACGAAGGCCAGGGAAAGAGGCAGCGGACTAGGACCCAAGTCATTGGGTGCAAACAATGAAACCAACTTGGCTGACTTGGCAGAAAGTAAATGTATTGGAAAACCAATATGGAACCCATAGAAGCAGCAGGAAGGTTAGGGACACTGAGCCTGGAAAAATAAAGAGGAGTTAAGAGAGGCCAGGCAGCCAAAAATACATCCAGAGTCACACCACTGGGTGGTTTGGTGACAAAGCCTCTGATGGTGTCACCCCCACTGGGTTCTCCCTCTGAGCTGCCGAAGCTACCCGTAGGCCACCTGGCAATCTCGCATCTCTACCAGGATTGCATGTCCCAAGGGGGAGTATCTGACTGACCAAGTGCAGGCCAGGGAGCCGAGAGTGGGAATATGGGCCCTCTGGCCACCAGCACACTTAGAGTCCCGCTCAGATATCCACCTGCTGGATAGCCAATAAATAAATACCTGCAACACCAGGTTTCCGGGATTAGAGCTTCCATTTATTCCTGCTTCCTGGGTCAGTTGAGAGGGCCATTTCATCTCTCTCCTCTACGTCCATCGAAAATGCTGAAAATTTTAAAACTTGAAATTCTTCACCTTTAAATAGTCGACCAGAATCTATCGAACACGGACTACACACCAGGCATTATGCTAAGTGCTGATGACAGAGTGGCGTGTGTTACAGCCCAGCCCCTGCCCCCACAGAGCTGACGTCACAGCTAAGGAGACTCTGGTTGCCTTAGGAGAAGGGAAACCAACTAAACAATAAAAACCCATTACGGACCTTCCATGTGCACGCACAGTGCTTCCACACGCATCATTTCATTTCATCTCATGAGAACCTCACATTTTTTCCTGATGAGAAAGTGGAAGCTGTGAGAGTTTCAGTAACTGACCCACAGCCTGGTCCTAGCAGCGTCGGGGCTCGAACTCAGTTCTGTCCAATGCATGCACTTTCTAGCCCCTCTGCGTCAGTGGTGAACTGGGGAGCTTACCTCTGCTGGTTCAAGTCAAGATCAAAATGCTTTATGCGCTTGAACATTTAACAGGGGAAACTGAGATGAGACATTTCCTCCACAAGGTTGTGGAAGCCTGTGTGAGACCATGCGAATCACCCACAAAGTATCTTTTCAGCATCAGCTGAAATGGTTTTGGTCGTTAAGGTGGGTAAGTTTGCAGGGACAATGAAGGAAAGAAAAGGGCATTTTATTGTGAAAGAGAATTAGTACGGGCCAAAAGTGGGTGACTCAGTAATTAGTATTACTCCCCAAAACAAAACTAATGGCCATGCAAAATCACAGTCTGCGGCATGTTCATGGCCAGTCTAGCAAAGACTAAGCAGGTTTCAATTGCCTGCAGAAGACAAGATAAATGACTAGTGCCAGATGTCTAGCAACCAAGCAAGATAACATGGAAATTCAATTTTTACTTGCTGAACTATGATCTTTATGACTCTTAAAATACAGATTTGAGTTCATAAAACAGGAAAGGTTATAGCCATCTGCGTGGTTACGGAATAGATCAAAATGCTGAGGGTGACTCTACAAGTAGAAAGAAATTCGTAAGTGTGAAGAATCTAGGCAGAATAAGGTGATTCCGTTTATTTGTTCATTGAATACCTCTGTGTGACAGCTGTTTATGTCAGGTATGAAGGAATCAGTGATAAAGCACATGCAGATAAACCTTCTCTCCATCTCTGCACAGACTCTCCTCCCTGCCTGACCCACCTGTCTCCCTCGCCACCCCCTGTCAACCTCCCCTCCTCCCGCCCTGCCTTCGTCCAGTAAACTCCCACCCTGTCTCAGCGGACACCTCCTCCGGGAAGTCACGCTGGATCTCCCAGACTAGATAGTTTTAAGATCACTGTTAATGATAACAGGGGGAGCTTTGCACATAGTAGGGAGTTGGCACCTGGAATACTGGACGTCTATTTTAAGCTACCGTGACTGGTTCTGTCAGCCCTGAAAGGCTCCTGGCTATCTAGAGCTTGCACAAAAGTGCCGACGTTTTGTGGGATGGAAAAGTTAGGTGTACAGCAGGGTTCAAGTTCTGCATTGCTCCAGCAATGAGAGAAATCATTAAGACTGGAAGGTTTTTGAAGTCCCTTACAGAATCGAACCACCAAACCTGAAAAATCTCCGCATCTGTCTTGACAACAGTCACCTGTGGAGGTTAACTTGAATCCCTCAGTTTTGGAGGAGTTCTTCTGAGGAAACCAAGTCCTTTGTGGGTCACAGTTTAGACACTTACTGCCACTGTCTCCAGGAAGGGTCATGGCTGAATCTCCCTAAGTAGGAAGGAGAGGAAGGACGCCTGGAGGTCAAGGTCATCATTTCCAGCCCTGGCTGTCCTTCCCCCCTGCTGCTGAGCACATCCAGGAGCCATACTGCCTCCTGAGCAGACCCCATGGGTGGGCTTGGAAAGATGCTGGTGAAAATACTGTTTTGCACTTTGTAAAGTTTTTTATTTTCCAAAGTACATCAAATACACCTTTATCACCTCACTTGACCCTTTCCTTAATTTTCCTCCATAAGCAGCGAGGCAGCCACACTAGCTTTGCCGACACCACAGGGAAACGGTCTCAGTGGTTGGGGGTCTGGAACCGCTGCGGAGCTTTCACGCCGCACGACTCCGGTGCCGGGAGGCCCGACCCTGCGGGCAGAGGCTGCCTGGTGCTGCGTCCGCCCTGCCGCACAGGTGCTCCTGTAGGTGCATACACCCGGTCCAGTGCCTTCCTCCAGGCCTGTGGGCTCAGCCTCCCGCAACGGCAGCACACCGAGAAGGGTCCGTGGTGTAACCCTGCTCATGTCAACGGGTTTATGAAACCAGAAGGCGAATGTATTAATTCACAGAGTAACGCACTTGAGAGGAGTATAAACTAAAAACTTTCTGACAGCAAGCACGTGTGTTCCCTCTCCTTAGAGAGACCACGTGGGAAGTCAAAGCACAACCACGCCTGGTTTTCGCAGGTCTTAAAGTGGCCTTTGCCAGCGTAGCTGGAGGGGCCCTTCCCCCCAGTTTAGCAGTAGCGTGATCAGCTCCCGCGACACAGAACGTTTAACACGTACAGGCTTTGGCCTGGGGAACCCTTTCTGAACATGACTCGGTGTCATGCTTCTGCTCTGATTATGGGTTGGTTGGATACATTGACTCTCAGGGGACAATCTTATTTTCCTTATCCCCCAATTCCTAGGTGGCAACCCAGTTGGCTGCCTGTAGCGCTTCTGCCCGCACCCTCTTATTAAGGAAAACGGGGTGCAAAGAGGTTAAATGACATTTAACACGTCTTTACTGAGGATCCATCACGTGTCACACTCCCAGGTGGCTTCTGGGGAATAAAACCATGCATAAAGCACAGTTTTTATACATAAGGAGGCAGACAAACGAGCAATTACAGCAACATTGGATAAATTCGCTGTTGGGGAAGTAGCGGTCACAGGGTCACCTATGGTGTGGACACCTAACCCTGCTGACCGCTCTTTGTTTTGTTTTTAGCTATTTCAGCTTTCCAATGTAGTAACCAAGTGCAATATAGTTGAACGAAGAGTTAAGAGGATAAAAAAAATTGATGAGGCCAATCCTTTAGCAGTCAAGAGAGCCCCGGGGGGAGGAGGAAGTTTTCAACGTGGCTGCCCTGTGGGAGATGGACCTTGTCTCTGACCCGAAAACCACCAGGAACAGAGCGAAGAGAACGTCTTGCCTGTTTCTGTCGCTCTGTGGGAATCACAAATTACTTCGGAAGGATGAATCGAGGTTAGATACCAGATGTCATAGCTATATAAAAAAAAAACACTTGAAAAGTGGTAGAAATCTTTAAAAAGAGAAAAGAAGATTAGCAGAGGGCAACCTGGACATTGTCGTGGCAGTGTGATAGGGGCTTTATCTGAGAACATAGGGCATGGAGTTTTATTTTTAACCAGTGTTTCTACTGCTGGAAATCCATTTTGTTCACGGGATTCAACCAGGTCACAGCTCCAACTGGGGTTCTTTCTGATGTGTTTAGACTCACCTGAAGCTCCTAAAATAAGTCAAAGAAATGTTTGGTTCAGAGATTTGACAAATTCATGATAAGACTTCTGGGATGTTTTAAAATATTTCTGACTTCTACTACTGCCTTAACTACTGTTGGTGAGTTGATACTATTTGAAAAAAACTCTATTTCCCCGTGTAGAACAAAAAGAAAAATTGCACCTGTTTTAACTATTCTGAAGAAGTTATTGAAATGATGTATCTTACTTTTTACTTTTTCATCAATTTTTCAGAAGTTTTGCTGTTAGCATTTAAGTTGCAGGACTGACCTTGGACACAGGAAGAAACAGAGAATAATGTCCCACTAGAGAGTCACTTGGGACTAGTCACCATTTGACAGAAAATAGCTTTCTACGGTAAAATATGGTTACACCACATTATAAAATGTCTGCAAACCAAATGAATAAGCTAAGGGTGAGCAATTTGGCTTTCCAACTAGAAGAGCTCTGTTCATTTTTTCCAATAATTATTTAGTTTCAAGAATAGGCTCTTTTGATATTTTAACCTCATTGGGTAAACAATTATTTGTATGGTAAATTCATTCTGAAGCTTGATGGGTCACCTCCTTTCCCTCCATGTTTAGGGCTTTGTATAAAAAGCGGAGATATCAGGGAAGGAAAAACCACATGTATTATGTATTATAGAACTCAAGTTTCAGTGTCAAAACTAGAAAAGCAAGGCCCCAAGCCCCAGTGGAATAAAAGAGATACCATTATTCCGTGGACTTGAAGTTAGCTGGAGATAATATTAGAAGAGTTTGATAGAGTCACATAGTCATAAGTAAAAAAAAGACACTAGAATTCACTGAATCTGTAACTTTGCTTCTTGGTAAAATTGTCTCTGAAATAAAGGACATCATTAATATTCTTCTTAAGGGCATATTTTAACAATATATGATAGGAAGACACATTTGCAGTCCGTTTCCAAACTAAAATTCTTTCCTTGCTATTTGACATTGGACTTAAATTTTTTTTCCCCTCTACTTTGCTCCTTCTTAGCTATGCTTCAGGTCTTGTCCCCAGGAAGCGGGACCCGAGGAGAAGTGAAAGGAGAGACATAGAGTTGAGAGAACTGGGTTAAAGGTGTCAGAGTTGCAGGCAGGAAATTTAGTGAATGGTGGAAACTGCTGAGATCCTTTATAGGTGGAGGGCTTGGTTCTCTTACTACAGCAGAAAATACTGTGTCCAGTTCTGCGTTGCTATTGACTACTTGTAGACTGAAACAGCTCTCCTTCTTTAATGGCAGGGACCGTGCAGAGGCTGCCTTTGCCTCGGGTCAGGGAAGTGCTTTCCCCAATCCCAGAGCTTGAAGTTCCTTCCCCAACGCATCAGCAGGAGCAGTACCTGCGGTGAGTGACCTTTCGGCTTTATAGGTGATTCGGCTTTATTCATCATAAACGTGAAGAAATCCAGGGAAGTCAAGTATACTTCAAACCACGTTTCTCTCTGGGAGTAGGAATTGAACTTGCAAATCATGCCTATATGAATGAGATGACATGAAGTAAAATTACCTTTTTCTCCACGGTGTAGGAAGGACTAGTACACTGATCTGTTAGTCTGTTAACATGTGTGCCACAGCTGTCAGCGCATCCCTTGGCGCTGTGTCCTGTGGTTGAGTCATAGTTCCAGCAGGCCAACCATTGTTTCAGATGGAGCAAGAGAAAAAAGAGCATGTGAGCTTATCAGGCAGAACTACCCACTGACCACACTGTCTTCTTGGATGTAATGGAGACTCCATTACATAACATATTCTTAGTGTTATGTAAGACATAGTGACTTTAGGAATATTCTTGGTGTTCTTGTAAGACATAATTTTGATAAATGGTTTTTAACTTGTTTTCCACTAATTCATTTCAGGTAATACTTAACAAAACTTTTGTGATTAATATTTGCCCTTTTTTCCCCTCTTAATCTTCAGAAGATCCTTCTGAAGTCCTCTGGATAACTTGGACCAAGCGCTTTTGAAGAATACCTACAGTTGTATTTTGGGAATGAGTTAACTGGTAGACACACGAGTCCAGCTGAAGATGCACGACAGGAAACAGCAGGGACGCCGACTGGTTAGCGCAAGCCAGCTCGGGAGCACTCATTGGACCCCGGAGACCAAGGCAATGAGAGTGTTTTCCCAGGAGGCCACCATGAGTCATGGAAACAAGCTGATGAAACCCATGGAAATAGCAAGAGAACGCCTATTCTCCTTGTTTATCCATCTTCGTGCAGCGTACAATGGCCCCAAGATTTTGATTTGGAGGAATCAGCAGCAGGGTCAGCATGAAAAAACCTTTTCTCTCGTCAGCTCACATTGCAGACTCTGCTTTGCTGGCTCTTCCTGGGCAGATGGATTGTTTCTCTTTGGCAAGCTACTCGAGAGGGCCTGGATGTTTGTTTCCACATTCGTTTGGATTTACAAATCTGCCCTCCTTTTGGCACTGAGAATGTTAAAAAATATCAAAGATACTGAAATAAAATGAATTTAACTAAAATGTTAAGTGGAACTTCAATATTTAAATCTAATAGCAGAATGTGTCCTCTGATTCTTTTGGCTTTCATATTTTTACAGCTATGATTGATACCAGGAATCATTATAGTTATTACTTACAAGAAAAGCACATATATTTAAGAGGGTGATTCTTAATGAAAAATATAAAAATACCTTCTCAGAGATAAGTTGGAATTTAACCTCCTGGTCTCGTTATTTGGTTAAAATTCCTTAGCTGAGTAGATTCCCAGACTTGGGAATTCCTCCAGTCTCACTGTTTCTTGTCTTTGCATCCCTGATTCATAGGTGAGTCAGGCTCAGGTCCGGAGTGTACAGCAGGAGTGGAGGGCTGGAACACTCCATGAGGGGTGGATACTGTACAGTTTCTGAGTAGCCAAGCTATTGTTTCTTTGCACATCCCCTATTCTGTTCTGACAAGTGACTTGGAAATCAGTGGGAACTTGGCTTACCAAAGGCATGAATTCAGCTTCAAGTTCTACTAAATTGTGTGAGCTTTCTGGAAGCTAATTCCACTTATTTATTAAAATAATAGACTTTAACAGATGTTATGAAGCAGTCACAGATATAGTTAGCCTGCTCTCTGCCCACAGAGTTTATAGTCTGGTAGAGGAGCTAGAACATGCATACCACTAGTTATAATACCAGACCCAGTCGAGTCAGATAAGTGTTGTTTGCGGGCTCCATGCTTCCTGTTGAGAGTTCACAGGCCTAGAGTATCTGTTAAGGTCTATTTTCTTTTCTGTCTACATGGTTCTTAATAATCTCCAGCTATTGGTGCTATTCTGATGGTTGGTGATTTTAGGGGAAGTGGAAGTCCTTACATTTTAACAATCTAAATAAGGTATGTTATCAGATACCTAGATGTAGGACAAACAAAAGATACATTAAAAAAATCTCTGTGAACTAGCAATCCTATACTTTAGTAAAGACAGGATGTCTTTACTAAAGTCTCTACAGGATGTCTTTAGTAAAGACAGGATGTCTTTACTAAAGTGAGGGGAAGGACAAGATGAAGTGTGTATGTTTGAACAGGGGGAAAACAGAACATTTTGGCAAAAATATGATACATCATAAAACCTTCTGGAAGAGTTCATGTTTTCCACCTCCTGAGAGTTAAGGCTGTTACCAGAAGAAAATATGGAGATAATGTTGCTGCTTACTAGAAGAATATCATTTTGAGGGTTATTAGTTAGGATACTTGCATCTTCAAATAACAGCAGGCCCTAGTCAAAAATGTCTTAAATAATAACAAGATTTATTATCTTACCTAACAGGAGTTCTGGGTAGTGTTTCCAGGGTTAGTTAATTCAAGAATTCACATCATCAATCATCCAGTTTCTTTCCTCTCTTCTCTGCCATCTTCAGCTGTTGTCTTCAGGCTTCCCCAGCATGATTCCAAGGAGTGATTGTGTTAATGTTAGTATCACATCATCAACAACCATCACATCCTATATCACAATGTCCTTTTTATGAGTAAAGAAGCTTTTACAAGAAGTCCCCCACCCCTCACCCAGCAGATTTTTCCTCACACTAGAGCATCGAGAATTGGATCACAGATCCACTTTCAAACCAACCATTGATGGGGGAATGGGACCCTCGGGACATGAAGGGTCAAGATTTTCCTGGTTCTTAAGGAGGAGAGAGGAACTGACCATCAGAACACAACCAGCGCTCTGTAAACGCAGAAGAAGCGTGCTGGGTGTCTCTGTGAATGTTCCTCCTCTGTTACATGTTGATGTGCAGAGAGAAACTTGCTCAGAACAAAACACGGGCTTGTTTTCTCCTCAAAACGATCTCTTCAGGTGTGCTGAGGCTGTTCCCCAAGCAGTGTCGCTGCCCATCCTACTGTGATGGTGTCTGCCATGTTGTCATGGGGCCATTATCTCCCTCCAAAGATACCTCTTTTTTCAGTTGTAAATGCCCCGTCTGTTTTCACGTAGAAAAGTGATACCAGTGTGTGGTATCACAAAGGTGGACACATTTGCAGTAAAGAGCTTCGCAGTGGTCATTACCTTTCTCTCATAACCTTTCACTGGTGACCCCTTAGGGAATTACCTCTCACCCATTGAAGGACATCTTGGTGGGACTGTACATCAAGGTTTCTTGCCCACCAGCTGAGGAGTGGCACGTGACCTGAGCTGGGTCCATTTGACCCTCTGTTTTTGATTCACAGGTGCACCAACAGGAGGGTGGGAAAAATGAGTGGAGCGCATTCATTCCAGCAACAGAGTTGCATGGTTCCTGCTTTCAGATGATCCGATATGCTAGCTCTATGGCCACTGATCAGCCTTGGTTTTGAGCCTGCTCCTCTGGCCTTCCATTTGATTCTGTGAGCTATCATTAATATCTTTGTAAAAAGACCTTTTTCCTGTTTAAGTTTCTGAGCTGGTTTCTATTGCCTGCTGGATATAAAATTTATTATAATTCATAAAGTCATAGGACGTCTTAGCTGTAAGAAATTGTATAAATCATCTGGCTGCACCCCATTTTACAGCTGAGGAAACTGAAGCCCCAGGGGCTGAGAGTTTCACCCAAGGTCATATCACAGAGTCTGTCAGCGACGGAACTTTGAATAAGACAACATCTCCTTGGCCCACGGTAGTGCAGCCTGCTTTTCATTTTAATCCCCTTTTAGTATAAACCACAGTCTCTGTCGATCTCTTCCCACCCCCACCTTCTGCAAATCTCAGTAGAGACTGGTGGCTTAAAACCTTCATTTTAAAATTCCAAACTGACAATTTGCTTTGTGTAGTTAAAAAACTTGTTTCGCAGATTGTCCTTTCAGAGATCTGGCATCTGGTAAAGCCAGGCATCACTTTATATCCTTATAAGGAGCTCTGATTCTTTCCAGCTATCTTTGAGTGTTTGGAAAGGAAGTGGTGTGCTCTAGGGAAACATATGGGCTCGGGTTCTGACAGAGATTATTCACCATTTCTAAGTCTAGCTTCTAGCTGTGTGCATGTGGGGAGAAACTTCCGTGGCTCGCACTAAAGGATATATAGCTGCTCTGTTTTTTCGGTTGCTGTAGGGCAGTCGTAGCTCATAGGACCACTGCTAACATAGCCTGGTGTTAGAGTAGAGGGGGTTAATGATAATACTGTCATACCTCAGCACTTGTCGGCTCCAGAACTCGTCAAACCTTGTACTCATTGCATTCTGATGACAAAAAAATGCCTCATCACTCATTGCTTGCTTGGTACGTGTTGGTTTCGGCACCCTTCGTGCGTTCTGGAATGCATTAAGCCCGAGGACCAAGGTACTGCTGTAGTACTAATTATGTGCCAGACACTATTTTAAGCACTTAGCAGTTTAGTTTATTTTTACAACACTGGTAGATAAGTACTATTATCATCATCCCAATTTATAGGTGAGGAAATTAAGGCAGAGAAAATTTAAGCAACTTGTTTAAAGTCACGCAGCTTTAAGTGGTAGAGTTGAAATTTCAACCCTGGTGGCCTGGTCTCTGAGTCCATACTCTTAACCTTCTGTTGCTTCTTAATCACAGAAACGCTCTCTGTGGAGGTACAAGTATACTACTACTACTACTACTACTACTACTACTACTACTACTACTACCACCACCATCATTTTAGGAATAAAATGATTGTCCCCAATGCCAACAAATGGCTTTCCATAATCACTTCTAACAGCGGTTCTGTATTATGACTCTCTGTGCCCCAACAGTGTTTGCAGGGTGTATACCTACAAACAACAATCTACCACAAGTCTCCTACACCACTGCTTCTCGTCTCTGCTTGAGTAATGAAGTATCCACAAAGACTCAATTATTTGAGAGTTGTAAGAATTGCACAGAATGAAGCTTTTTTTGCCCTGGATCCTCAAAAAATAGGATCAATAAGTAATTGTTCCATAGACCACTTAAAAGAGTTTAATTCTTTTAACTCATGTCCAGACCCCATGGGGTGAAAGATACTCATTGCAATTTAACTACACCCAAATATTGATGAAGAAAGGCTGTAAACTGAGTACCCAACAAGTCCCTTTCTGCCTACCAGGTTCAAGACACATTTTTCTACTTGAAATTAGCTAAAGGGAGATAGTAAATCATTTCTAGTCCCATCCTATTTGGCAAACAGACCGTATAGGCTTTATTTTTAAGCAATTTATCATAACAAATTTCCACTATGTCAAAACAAAGTAACTGTGCTTAATGATTACATCATAGTAAGATTTGTTTTAGTATACCATTCTTTATTCAGGGTGAAAATTTAGTAGGAAAAAAGATACTTAAAAATTGTCTATTTTATTACAGCTGCGTAAATAATAGACTAATACTAGAAAGAAAGTTCCTCATTATTCAGTAATTTTTTAATAGAATAATTAGACTAATGTGAGCAAACAGGAGTACTTTCAATGGCATGTTTTAATGGCAGAAATCTCACCAGAGGCAGAGGCTGCCCAGGCCATGTCCTCAGGCATCGGCTGCTGTGGCGGGTGGTCAGTGGTGGGGGAGCATAGGGAGGAGAGACAGGGAGGAGAGAGGAGGAGGAGCGAGGAGGAGGCACAAGGAGGTCGCTCTGTCCTCTCCTGGGAACCAGTTGTGTGGGCCCTGGGAATGGCGGCCTCCTCTCCCCCTGGGACCCAGGTTGGCCCACCTGTGCCCCAGACAACTGTGTCGGAGACTCCGTCTTTCCTTCTTGCCTGATGCACCACCACGGTGCCTGGGCAGTGCTGGACCTCCCTCACCATCACAGCACCCAGACTCGGTTTATCAGCAGGCTTTGTTTGTTTGTTTGTTTGTTTTCGGTGAAATCTAATTGTGGTTCATTACTTGTTAAAGCTTTAGATGGGCTCCCTTCTGATTATTAACATATTGTTGAAATGGAGGTCTTTTATTGATCCTTTCAGTCGTTAATGTGATGCCCGCCTCATGCCAGGCACAGTCCTATAGCGGAGACAGCTACACAGACAATAAGAATGCACTTTGGAAAGGCCTGTGCTGGGTCTGCACTCCCGAGAAACTGGTTTCATCCATCTTTGAATTCCCAGACAG